CCCCCCCCCATCGCGAGGAGAAGTGCGGATTGGTGGGTTGTGATAAGCCCATGGCGGCTAGAAAGGCGCCTATGTACTGTGAAGGAGGGGGGGCACTACAACCCGTCACACGCCAACCAGGCGGCCCGCACAACGAATCCTGGTCCATTCCTGAGCATGAGGGAATGATCAAAGCCACGAAGAACAGTGCGTTGTTGACGATGAATTTTCGCAAATCGAGTGCATCGACGTGGTCACTGCTGCTGCGCCTGTGCTGATCCTGCGACGTGAGAAGCGTACAGTTGGGTGAGGATGCAAGTCATTAGCAACTGTGCCGCATTCTTGCATCGACAAGCCAACTCCATGCCGCGGCCCCGAGATCCCTGTCCCGAGTTCATTCTGATTACTGTCTTCCTGGTGGAGCCTCAATACTTGTCAGCCACGATAACTAAAAGAGATTGACGTCCGATATTGGAATGGTTAAGCGAAGAGTGTGAAGAAATTGCGCCCCGGCCCGTTACCTAGGCAAACAATGGCTGGATAAAGATCGTGCGTTCAGCCTCCTCGGAACGGACACAGACAACCTTTGGGTGCCAACAACTTTATGGGGCGCGCGGTTTGAGCGCAACGATGTTTCGTCGGTGTAAGCCACAATGCGCCAAAGGCTTTATGCAACAGAGGAGGTCGGGTGGAATCCTAAGACTCCTACGCCTTACCGATGATCGCAACGGTCCGCTGTGCTGCGCAGTAGAGCGTTTGGGTAGTATCCGTATTTGGTCGATGGTAGATTCTGAGCATGTTGGTGGTGATCTCACGAGATTGGCTTTTGAAGAACGTCAAGGTAGAACGTGGTGACGCCAACCGGCAATACACGGTCCGCAGCCTCTACCATACTTAGGCATTACCTACGCGCCAATTCGCAGCGGCGCCGTACACGCGCAAGACCTGGAGCAAAACGTGGGTCGTAGGCCCCTTCTCCGAATCAAGGTGACGGCATTTGCTTACCCCACATTCCGGAATACCGTATGCAGGATGGCGCCAATGTCATCCGAGGTCGAGCTGCGATGCAGGTATGGCATCGTGAAATGCCATGCTGTCTACATCTTCTTCCCGAAGAGTAACCGGAAAGCCCAGACAGCCATCGTTGGATGTTTGGTAGTGATAAAGAACTTGACAGTCATATCAGTTGACGGGTACAATTGGTCTTCTCGCGAACCTCGCGCGTATCCCCGCGCTTCTCCAGACAACCGATCAGCGAAACAGTAGCCCACTCACACCATGGTGATTTCAACAGCAATTCGCATAGCGCCTTCGAGGGCAGCACGCGCACTCAATCTCCTTCGTACTGTACAATATACGCATCCTCCGTCATGTCCCTGCCATTCGAATCCCAACTACCACCAATCGCCAGCTACCGTTCAGCAAGCACGGCGACATCTCGCAACGCCCCTCGATCAATTCCAGCAGAAAGAATATGCTTTCGAGATGGCAGCATCCAGCATACGATTTGGGCCCGGATGTACAAAGGAAGTGGGTATGGACTTCAAGAATATGGGAAGCAAGCGTGTCATGGTCGTCACAGACCCCAACGTACGGAAACTAGATGCCATGAAGCAGGTCATCGAAGGTCTGGAGAGGGAGGGTGTAACATATGAGATCTTCGACAAGGTCAGGGTTGAGCCAAAGGACCATAGCATAAAAGAGGCGATCGACTTTGCGAAGCCGTGGAAACCAGATGCATACTTGGCTGTTGGTGGTGGCAGTGTTATTGACACTGCCAAGTTGATGAACCTGTACACCACATTCCCCGAGGCAGACTTCCTGGACTTTGTCAACGCCCCACTCGGCAAGGGAATGCCTATTCCATCGAAGCTTTTCCCACTCATTGCTGTGCCAACAACAGCAGGAACTGGATCTGAGACTACCGGTACAGCCATCTTCGATCTGGTCTCCAAGCGCGCGAAGACGGGTATCGCTCACCGCAACTTGAAGCCTACGCTGGGCATAGTTGATCCATTGAACACACGTACCATGCCCTCTGCGGTCCACGCCTCTTCAGGTCTTGACGTACTTTGCCACTCTCTTGAATCATGGACTGCGATACCGTACTATGAGCGTACTCCGCGACCTACCAACCCCATCAATCGTCCGGCCTACCAAGGCGCGAATCCAATTTCCGACATCTTCTCTCTCAAGGCTTTGAAGGACACAGTCAAGTACCTACCTCGCGCAGTCAAAGACCCTGATGATCATGAGGCGCAATCCCAGATGTTGCTAGCTGCAACACTCGCTGGTGTTGGTTTCGGCAATGCAGGTGTGCATCTCTGCCACGGCATGTCCTACCCTATCTCAGGGCAAAATCCGGGATACAAGCATGCTGGCTATGATGTTGATCACACCATCATCCCGCATGGTGTTAGTGTTGCAGTAACTGCACCAGCAGTATTCAAGTTCACTGGCGCATCGAACCCGGAGAGACATCTGGCCGCTGCCGAGGCATTCGGTGTGGATATCTCGAATGTCAAGGCAGAGAGTGCGGGAGAGGTGTTGGGCGAGGCGCTAGCAGAATTCTTGATCAAACTCGGTGATCAACCACGCGGTCTAAAGGCGCTTGGCTTCGGAAAAGAGCATTTGGACCAGTTGGTTGAGGGCACAATTCCCCAGGCGAGAGTACTGATGTTAGCACCCAGCTTAGAGATGCAGAACGTTGATGCCGAGAGGGAGCAGTTACGGGGTTTGTTCGAGGATGCTATGGAGTACTGATCGTAGCCACGGTGACTCTGTGTCGCATACAGGGGACGTTGGCGATGTTTGAATCTGGATGCCGAGGTTTGGACGAAGACGTGAATGCATATGCAGTTGCATGACTGTAGAAAGTTTTACAGAATTCAAAATATGACGTGTCTCTGTTACATCACAGTGTTGTTCGCCATGTTGAGCTGAAACTATCTTTGAACATCCTGTACTTGAAGGCATGACAAATATTTGCTCCACAAGCCACGGGAAAGTCGACAGGGGTTCCTGTTAACCTTGGAAGTTCCATAGCTTGGGATCCAAACACCAGGCTACTTGTCTATTGCAAGTTAATCGGTATCAGGTGGCATGTTGATGGGGCTCCTCGGTGCTACTGTGGGGTTACCCATGCGCTGTGGAGGCCATGACAATCTTCTCGCTTTGGCGCAATACGATGGAGCCACGATACGTCAACGACGCTGAATGAAACCTCCTGAAGGGAGCATCTCCCGCGATCTCCCCTGGGATCGTGGCGCAGCCCGTCAAATGTCATTTCCTAGTGCAGATCGCGCTCACAACTGGAAGAGGCGCTCCCAATGTTGACGTCATGGGTCCAGCCAGACCTCTACGATGCCCTGCTTCTCTAGGATGGATGCATGTCGATCTAGATTCACACTCGGAGCTTAAATCAAACTTAAACCCCCTCCCTGGACCCTGATTTTACCCTGCAAAATAGTTTCTACCTACTACTCTAGTAGTCATCTTTGTCCCTCTCTTGCATTACAACTGGACGGGCTCATTTCCGAAATAACGCGAACCCCGCCTTCAACCAACCAAATATCGCTAGCCGCGTCGGTCGAGCTCCATAACAACACCGTTCCTCTATATACGTGCGAAGACACGTTCCACAACCTCACCTTAATTACTGAGTATCGTTACACACCTACAATATGTCTGCGCCTACCTCTGCTACGAGTGAGATGCCCACGCGCAGTCTCACAAACCGATCTGCCGACGAAGATGCCATTCCAGGAGAGGATACCTCAGAGGTGAGCAGTCTAAAGCCCGATAGAAGGAATTGAACCTGACATGTCCCAGGTCACGAAGCTCTTTGCAGAGCGATTGCAAGCTTGGAAACACGCCGTTGCGTACCTCGAAGACTACGTTACCGCAACAGAGAAGACGAACCACGCACACGGCAAGGAGTATGAGCGAGTCTTGAAGGTTGGTGTAATTCACGCGATGGTGATTCTATTGCTGACGTTCGAAAGACGGTCAAGGATCCCCTGAAAGAGGGCCACCACTTCGACCAGTCGCTCGGCGGTGTTGCGGGCATGTTCGAGAACATCAGGTCCAACACCCAGGTATGCCATCTTTCCACTCAAGAACCCGATGACTCTTCTAACCATGTCAGGGTATCTCCAACCAACACTACGAGACTGCGAAGCAGCTGAAAGGCGCCGTTCTCCCCATCTTCGACCGCCTGCACACCGAGATCAAGAACAAGAGCAAGGAGCTCACAAAGGGAGCCGGCAAGGGCAGTAAGGCTGTCGACAAGGCTCGCCAGCACACCCAGAAGCACATTGAGCTTCTTGGTCAGCACACCGCAGTCTTCGACTCCCACAGCGGCAACATGAAGGCTACCGACGACCCCTACATTCTCCAACGCGGAGTTAACCACCGTCTGCACAAGCAAGTGCAGGAGGAGAACAACAACCGCCAGGACCTGATTAGTGTGCAGAACTCGTTCGCGCAATTCGAAGCCCACATCATCCAAACAATCCAGCATGGAATGGGCCAGTTCCTGCAGGTCGTCAACACCCAAGCCGAGCACACCAAGGCTGCATACTCCGACATGGTCGGCACATCCCAGCGCATCCCTCTCGACTTCGAGTGGAACGGCTTTATCCAGCGCAACAACACCGTCCTGATCGACCCTTCAGCTCCGGCCCGCAATGTCTCTGACATTAGCTTCCCCAACCAAAACCACCGCTCCACCCAGCCACTCATATCTGGCTCTCTCGAAAAGAAGGGCAAGATCATGCGCTCCTACGACACAAACTACTATGTCGTTACTCCCTCCAAGTTCCTTCACGAGTTCAAGACAGACGACGACTTCGCTAAGGACCCAGTCCCCGAACTGTCTCTCTACATCCCCGACTGCGTCATCGGTGCTGTCAACGGTCAGAAGTTCAACGTCAAGGGCAAGGACGTGTCCAAGGGCAAGATTGGTGGTGCTTTCTCCATGACACACGAGTTCGCATTCAAGGCACACACTCCACAAGCTGCAGAACAATGGTGGGACGTTATCCGCCAGGCAGCCGGTAAGGTGACCAACGAGGCACCGTCCAGCGTACCTACCAGCCCCGTCTCCGGAGATACCAGCCCTCAGAATATGTTCCCTGAAGAGAAGACGCAACCCGCTCCTATCCAAACCCAGGGTCTAGAGAAGACTGGTACTAACGTCACCGACCACGCTAGTGCGCCAGGCTCCGCTGTGCCAGGAAGTGCGACTACGGCGCCCTCTAGTGCTGTCCCAGGCGAGCCAGGAAAATACTAGTGGAACAGTCTCATGATTGCTACTTGTACATCTGAGGAAGAGGAGGTCGAAATGGAGGAAGTTGCATATTGAGTATCGCGGCTTGTTGAACATATACACATACCCCTTTGCTGTTGAATAGTACTAATACATTCTAATGCTTTTGAAGCTCTTTTCGTGCCGTCGTGCCTTTCTGCCTGAGGTTATAAGCTTTTACTTGTTGAGACTGTACTTCTCATTGTGTTTCTCTTGTGGTCATGCTAGATGATCAATCCCACATCTGCCGTACATTCAAGTTGACCCGTTTATTCCGCATCCACCCTCTCCACTCCTCATACAGCGAGGTTTGTCCATCTGTCCTTGCAGGCCAATCTATTAAGTACTCAGGACACGTGCCCCCCACTATCTGCGGAACACCATGCCATGCAAACCTCGACTCTCCACTCATATATACTGCGCTTCCTGATCTCAACCTCAGCGTAACGATCTTTTCCTCGCTGCCTTCTTCTTTCTCCTTCCCCTCCTCTCCCTTTTTCGGTACTGAAGTTCCAAGAACGAAGATGGCATCACATCCCAAACTCACGCTAACCAAACCCGTCCCACTGCTTTCAGCAACATCTCTATGCACACTCAGCGTATCGCCTGGTGAGTAGAGATTTACAATCGCGGCTTCAGCTTTCGTAGACGTAAATAGAGACTCTAAAAGCTTCTTTGTATCTGAAGGGAAAGCTGGAGGTGCGGTGGTGGGGTAGCGTTTCGCAGTCCAATCATACTGGCCGCCCAGAGTCGTCCATCGTAGTTTCTTGTTGAGAAGTTGTGGGATAGATAGAGGCTTGTGAACTGTGGGGTCAAGGGGATGGGCGATGGGTGTGGGGCAAGTAGGAGGGATAGAGAAGAAGGATGACTGGGAGGATGGATACGCCAACTTGTAGTGGGTATGGATGTTTGTGAGATGAGAGGGATTAGAGAGATCGCGGTGGAGAAGGTGGGATAGCAGTGTGGATTGGACGGATGGGGGTAGGAGTGAGGGGATGATGTGGAGGCCTACTTACCTGTTACTACGAAACATGGATGGGAAACCAAAACAGAACAAGACCAAAGTAACATTTACGAAAGTGAATCTCAAAGTCTCCTACCTGGCATGTCTTCGTGTTCGTATACCGGTATCGATCTTGGTATATCCGTGTCTTGAAGTTCTACCCCATCTTCACCGGCGAACGCCTGGAAAATAGCGGTCAAGTCTTCTGCGGTGTATTCTCTGACAACGCGCACTCGGCCACTTGATGACGCGGAGGCGTCGCTCGATAGATCAATGATGTCCCCATCTAGATCCAAGTCGTTCAATTTCATCTTTTGATACTTCTTGTAGACATTGCGTATGCTGTCTGGAGGGCGTTCATGAGGATCCAAGTGATGCATTTTGGGTGAAGCCTTTCCAGTAGCAGTCTCAGGAAACCGATTGCATATGCCAAGATGATTGCCGGGCAGCGCAAGCGTTCGGTAGTAGAGGTGTAGGGATGTTTGAGAATTGTGCCAGCAGGCGTTGACTAAGCTCGCGTTTTGTGGCTGACGGGTGCGCGTTGCCCGATGCGTCAAGGGTGTTTACATCTCGAATTTCCTAACATCGACACCCTCGTTCCCTGATCCCCGCCGCACCTTCGTCCTTACCCGCACTTACTAACCACAGGTACACTTGAGCTTGCTAGAGAGGCATCCGACCATCTTCGCCTCCACTCGCTATCTTTTGATCTCGCTGCGAAACAGCGCCCCTGCGATCTAGCTAAACACGCTTGACCGCCTGTCTCTCGTCTGAAGCATTCGCAGTCCATAACCGCTTACAATGGAGAACTACCAGAAGCTGGAAAAGGTCGGAGAGGGTATGACATTCCCCATGAAATCTTCTTTCATCACGCGCCCTTACTCACGTCAAACCAGGAACTTACGGAGTTGTCTACAAGGCGCGCGACCTCACCACCAAAGACCAACGCATCGTCGCTCTCAAGAAGATCCGTCTCGAAGCCGAAGATGAAGGCGTCCCGTCAACCGCCATCCGTGAGATCTCCCTTCTCAAGGAGATGAACGACCCGAACATTGTCCGCCTCCTCAACATCGTACACGCCGACGGACACAAGCTATACCTCGTCTTTGAGTTCCTTGATCTGGATCTGAAGAAGTACATGGAAGCGCTACCAGTGAGCCAGGGTGGACGAGGCAAGGCGCTGCCAGAGGGCTCTGGTCTGGCGGGTCAGGCTCTGAGCATGGACGACAAGATGGTGAAGAAGTTCATGATGCAGCTGTGTCAGGGTGTGCGGTATTGCCATGCTCATCGCGTGCTGCATCGCGATCTTAAGCCCCAGAACTTGCTCATCGACAAGGACTGTAATCTCAAATTGGCTGATTTCGGTCTGGCTCGCGCATTCGGTGTCCCGCTGCGAACATACACACACGAGGTATGGATATGAAATTTTTGAACGTTTTGAGATGCTTTCTAACACAAAATAGGTCGTCACGCTATGGTACCGCTCTCCAGAGATTCTGCTCGGTGGTCGTCAATACTCTACTGGTGTTGACATGTGGTCTGTGGGATGCATCTTCGCTGAGATGTGCACGCGCAAGCCCTTGTTCCCTGGTGATTCGGAGATCGACGAGATCTTCAAGATCTTCCGGTATGCAAACTCAACTCACACATTCTATTTCAGATGCTAATCGTGTCTAGTATCCTCGGCACCCCCAACGAACAAGACTGGCCCGGCGTTACCTCGTTCCCCGATTTCAAGCCCTCGTTCCCCAAGTGGGGTCGGACGGACGTCGCGAACATTGTCACCAACCTCGACGAAGTTGGTCTTGACCTCCTCGATGCACTGCTCGTATACGACCCCGCTGGTCGCATTTCAGCAAAGCAGACGGTCATCCACCCGTACTTTGGCGGTATGAATGGTGATACACGACACGAATACAGCAATGGCTACCACTAGGCTGTCCCAAGGGGACGCTACGACTGTTACGCATTTGGTGGCTGCATGATTGGTGAGCAACACGAGACGTTAGTGTCTACATGAGATTTCCCGCTTTGTTCTGGATACAAGGATTAGGGCTGTACCCCATCGGACAGCAAGCGGCGTTCCGGTCAGGATATGTTACAAAGTGCATACATGCAATACTACATACAACCACACCAAGCTGCTTCAATTTTTGCATAGTGTTGTGCTCAACACCTGACTCGCGATCATGTCTTTGGTGTTGCGAAATGACGTAGCGCGACATGCCCCACCTCAGCCCTACGGGACCCGTGTTGAATGCAGGGACGCGTCCACGTACCACATGTGCAGGTCCCTGACTTTACGGTCTCCTCACCACACTTGCTTTCTAGTTACTCAGCATAATGACTTCTGCCACCCCGAAATTGCTTCCCGTATCTACAGGCCCACGGCTTATCGTTTACCACCAGACTTACCACGACTCCAACGACAACTACCACTCGCTGCTTCCGCTGCTCACCAACAACACCGGTATTACGCATGTGATTATTGCGGCTATCCACCTCAACGACGGCGTGGGAAACATAACGCTGAACGACCACCGCCCTGATGACAAGAGGTACGACCAGCTATGGGGCGAAGTGAATTGGCTACAAGGTAGCGGGGTCAAGGTGCTGGGTATGCTGGGAGGAGCAGCAAAGGGCAGCTTCGAGAAGCTTAGTGGAGAGGAAGAGAATGTACGACACAACACCTGCGAACCCATATCATGCTACAGTACATGGATGCTAACGAAGGTATCAGTTCGAAGCATACTACTCGCCCCTCCGCGACCTGATACGCCGTTACTCCCTCTCAGGCCTTGACCTCGACGTCGAAGAAGAAACCACCTTATCCACCATCACGCGCCTTATATCCCGCCTGCGCACCGACTTCGGTCCCGAGTTCGTCATAACTCTAGCTCCCGTGGCCACGGCCCTTATTCCCGACCCCAACGTCCCCGCGCACCTTCGCCCTCCCCGCCCCATGCTCGCATCGGGACCGAGCCCCAATCCTCTACACCCCACTTTACCGCACCTTAGCGGGTTCAGCTATCCAGAGCTGGAGTGCAGTGTTTTTGGTAAAGAGATCAGTTGGTATAACACACAGTTTTATTGTGGCTGGGGCGATGCAGGAAGGACAGAGTGGTACGATGCAATCGTAGCGGCGGGCTGGAAGCCAGAAAAGGTGGTTCTGGGTGTTGTCACAAATCCTGGGAATGGGGCTGGACACGTGAATATACAGAAACTAGCAGATAATTGCAAGAAGTTACGGCAAAAGTACGGGAATACTGGCAAAGGCTTTGGGGGTGTAATGGGATGGGAGTACTTTAATGCTGGAGATTGCGAGGAAGATCTTGTTCACGTTTCGAGTCTGGAACTGGATAACGATACCGTGCAGGCTGGATGGGTCAAGGCGCTGGGCAGGGTGTTGCGCACAGAAGAAGAAAACAACACAGGGCAAAGACCATTGCAAGGTGTCACAGCTGATCAGATCCGCAGCATGGTGAGTAACCTTCCTACTGCCAGAGCAGCTTGGCCAGACGAAGAGATAGGCAAATTGGTGGTGTTGGGGTTCTCGCGTCAAGAGGCTATTGCAGCATTGAATGCTACAGATGGAAACACAGAGATGGCAGCGGGGTTCTTGTTTGAACATTACCCGAGTTAGTTGGTGAAGGGAACATAGGATTCGTGTTGGGGGTATAGTGCATAGATACATGGAGATGTTGTAATGAATGATGGTTTTGGTGGTGCGATGTGTGATAGAGTAAATGTTCTTGTGATGCTAGGCAACCAACCCCCACGCCCTGGCGTCCTACTCAGACGGGATAAGTTACCATGTCAATCCGCAGGACCTTACGCCGATCGCAAGTGGCAGTTTATTCCATCGTTCGCAGGGCGAGACTATGTGGTTAGTTAGGCCTCAGTACGGTACAAAGCCCCTGCATAAACCACGCATAGTCGATACATCTGGTACCCTAATACGGGATACGGACAAAACGAACCGAAAGATCTGTATCAAACCCGACTCAGGTCAGACTACGCGTTCTAGAAGGACTTATTGGCGGGGTCATTGGGTGAAGATGCGGATGCTCTGCCAAATCAAGGTTAGTCTACAGACATGGATATCTTCCGGCCATCTGCCCGATTATCCCGGTGTTTTACCGATATCCGCCGTTTACGGAGGCTTGTAGCTTAGGACCTAAGAGGTGGAGAAACTACAGTAGTCTGCGCGTGATCATCATGTTATTCATTCAATTGAGGTATACAGAAGACACGATGGATGTCGCACGGAGATTCCCTGCATGTAAGGCATGAGTCAGGCTCAGTCAAGGTCACTTGCAAAACAAATTCTAGGTGACACATGCAGATGCAGATGCAGCAAGGGTAGTTTGAACACAATGACGATAGTTTGGTATTAAGCTACCAGTAATGACAACTATGCGCGTGGGGTATTGCTTCCTCTATCCTGATATCCGCCTAACCTAATCCAACCATGAGTGGTGAAGCCAAAGAAATGTCTATATCTATATCTATACAATGTCGAAAGAAAGAAAATGCACCAATGCTATCGTGATAACCATGATCGTGACCATGAGTCTAGAAAATAAAAAGAGTAGAGCAGAAGGACAACCCCCTCAACGAGCTTCAGAGATGTTCGTCGCTGACAACGTCTCTGTTCTTAGTGGAGAACGCTCCCGTATCTTCACTGGCTTTGGAACTTGCAAAAGCCCGTTTTTGCTGTTCCTCTTACAGCGACTTCGTGATGCCGAAGTTGGAGACAGGAATCTCGACGGACTTGTCGCTGATGGCGAGGTACGGGGTATATGTAGCGAACCGTTTGACGACGATGACGACGAAGCGGGGGTTGTTGGTGTGAGTGGAGTAGTGGATCGACTGCTACACAGCGAACCGGGTATTAAATCATGTTCCTCAAACTGAACCATGAAGACAACATAGAAATGGTGAAGAAGTCTGCAACAAGATGGAAGAGTATGTTACCTTCCATCATCGCTAGTCCTGATGGGGCTCCCATCCCTGGGACTCTGCCTCCTGCTGTTCATCTGTGTATTGCGATAGGTCTCCTCGTTCAGCGTATCCAGACTTCTTGCCGGACTAGGCGTCGTACCTCTACTACCACGACTCCTGGACGGAGAGCTAGGCCTTGAGGTAGCAATCTCGTAGCTCGGCAGATCCATGTCCATGCCGCCAGGGGTCCTGGAACCAGCAGGCGTACGCACAGCCGTGTTGTAGCTGGGAGTGCGGGCCAGAGCGTCCATATCGTAGTTCGATGGCGGGAGGTCGAAGTAAGCCTGCTCGCTGTCGTGTGCTGGTGTACTATCGCCAGACGAGTGTTGACGAGTAGGCTGGAAGCGATTGGGGCGGTCGCTGTGATCCATGCTAAGGTTTGCGAGGCGGTGTTGCAGAGCTGCTGCTGATGCGCCGCCACCAGGTTGGTGGAGGGCTGCATCCAGAGATGTGAGATTCTCAGATGAGCCGCGGCGACTTTGCGCATAAAAGGGTGTGTTGGCGCCACTGTTCATCATGCTGTGCATCCCACCAGGGGTCATGAAGCCGGATGGATCAATGTCGTTGTATAGAGAATCCAGTTGATGCAGGCCATATGTAGGAGGCGCATTCTGGTTGACCTCGTCCTGTATCGCTTGCTGGTTCAGGAGAGCCTGGTCAACTATCACACTCTGGTCTTCGTTCGGAGGCAGATTCGGGGAAATGAAGAGGTGCACATGGTTCTTGACCAGCAGTTGACTAGTGTGACCTTCTGGGTTCTTGAGGTTCACGTATAACCGCAGCTTGTGCGTTAGCCGTATGTTCTCGGTGTCCACTGATTGCCGGCAGTTCTTGAGCGATTTTGGCAGATCGAGAGTCATGGAGAAGCGATGCGATTCGTCAAATAGCGCATCTGTGTCTTCTGTTCCGTCTGGGACCCTGCGCGCCGAGTTCTCTGGCATATCGCCTTCGGTCACCGCAACTTGCATGTCGTTCTGGTGACTTATCCGGCGACCAGCGTAGTCGGCAAATAATTGCCGTGACTCTATCAGCTCCATCTTGATTGTTGAGATCTCCACACCCTTGCGCAGGGGAATCAACACGAAATCAGCCGTTATGGACGTTCCGACAATGTAGTTCTTCTGTGGAACAGTAATCTTGTATGCCAATTTGTTGGCCCAGATATCCTCGTTGATTTGCTCCATGGGCATGGATTCGAGCATGTCGCGTCCGAGCGTGCGTATGACGCGGATGTGCGCCGTAGCATTGAGCTGCTTGCTCATGTACCCTCTATCCACGTGGGCCTTTAGGCTGTAAACCACCCAGTTTGTCGGTAGACCCTCAACGCTCTGGTCGAGGTTGGCAGGCATCTTGAACTTGAAATCCCACTCATGGTATCCAGCATTGAGTTTGTGCGCTTTGGTCTTGCTGCCGATGTCGACGGGAAATAGATGGAGTTCTTCGACGAGGAAGTTGGTCTTTTGGGTGATAGGCTGCGGGCTTACGGTGTTGGTCAAATGCCATCTGTTTGCAGAGAATTAGCATGCGATCGTGCAAAGGGCGTTCGTCTTCAGAAGTTGCACACAAAACCGAAGCCCACCCAAGGTACGCTATCATCAGTCTTAAGCCTTCGCAAGCAAAACACCTAACGAATACCTTCCGGGCGGTCTTTGGTATTTGGTGGTATAATTCATAAAAGCGATCCTGTTCGTAGAAAGGGGTGTTACCGTACGAGACTTTGCGGGTGCCTGTGAGTGTGATTCGCAAGCTCCTCACTGACATGGACTCTGGGTTGTTCAGAACCAGCTTTCCCCTCAACTCCGTCTCATGCGACTCGGAAGACTCTCCATAGAAGACAACGAAAGGCGACTCAGGCCTGAGAAATTGTTAATTTTCGCCATGGTGGGGTTGGACAGTAGGTAGAGCGTACTTGATCTCGAGGGTAGGCGCGGCGTTTCTGCCGAATACCCCGACACCTGGGCGAGGCATGATGTAACGAGGGTCAAGTTGGAAAATTACAAGAGAAACACAACCAGCATAACACTCTTCGAGTCGAAAAAGCGGAAGGCCAGCAGATAAGTATCAGCTGGGTCTAGTCGCAGGCTGACGTAAGGATGGGTAACAATTGGTAGGGGCAGCTCGTATGGTATGCGAATGTGAGCAAGCTGGATTGGGGCTGAGAAGAAGCGTGGGTGGGAAGTAGGGTTTAAAGTAGGTGTAGGACTTGTGTCATTCGACGGAAGGAACACCCGTCAAGGATATGCAGAGTAAGGTAAGGGCTTTGCTCAGCGCGGCCGCGTGTTGGAACCGCGTTAGATATACCAGAAAGCGTGGGATATGCGGGCAAGGGCGGCCTGCCTGCCCAAGCAGCTGCACCCTGATGAGCTCATGGGCATAAGTGGAGACGGCCTGTAGCTGCTCGCATCATTGTCTCTAGTTTAGCGCGCTTCTCTCACTTGTCTTAGAATTTTCTGGCGGCGATTAGGCGTCGCATTGGCACAGCAGGGGGCGTCAAAGAAGGTGTTCCGATAAGCCTCCCGCGAACGGCGGCGATAGCAACGCAAGCCTCTTTTCGATCGATGCGAGTAACCTTCAGAGGGGTTGCGCGCTCTCTGGGGATCATTCGGCGCAGAACTCGGACATGTTGTACAGCCCGCTCAGCAACCCAACGCCTACTGCATGTGCTACAAGGGAGGAGTCATGGAGACGTATCCAGTGTTTTGCTTGCGGCTCTCCCGAAGATCTGTGGTACCGCCAGGGCTTCTAGGGTTTCTATGTTAGCGATTGCGCCACACATGGAATGGCCGCCGCCATCTTGCATCGGCCAACCTGCAAGGGAAATTTCGAAACGATGGTGAGCTGCGATGCACCTCGCCGGTTGCACGTCAAAATGTCCATCGTCAACCAGTCCAAACTGCTCGAACCAACGTGGCCTGACACGGAAGCATTAGGGCTGTACATGTGAGAGCGTTGCGTGTCGTTGGTGAGGGGTTTCACTATCAAAGTTTGCTATGCTATCAACGCTTGCACAATCTTCCTGCAGCCTTCACATGTCACGCTGACTTCATCTCAACACAATGACTGTCCGGTCACGCCGTCACCGTTTTACCGCCACGATGAAACCGGCACCAGCCTCTCCAACGACTTCTAACAAGCCCGCGATATGCACTCACTCTATACCTTAATCTCGGTCCGAGCGGGCACGGTCAGGAAAATCTGCGGCTAGACCTGCATTGCCGCAACTGTGGGTATCAGCAGAGCCTCATCAGAGCTACGTACACTGTACAGGCCCACAGTTGAGAGAAGCGATGCGGCTACCGCTACAAATTCCCGCACGCGCGCCGTGAGTATCCACTGACCTAGGAAGTCGTGGTCGTAAGAGACATGTTAGTTACCGGCCGGAAACACTGTCGCACTGTCGTGATTTTCACACCATGTTGCATGGTGGAGATAAGGAAACTTGATTTTGCAACGTTGTAACAATGGAGTACTGCTGTACCCGTGGTTCTAGAACAAGAGGCTCCTTCGCGCGCATGCACGTAAACGTGCATATTCCATAGGGCTGAACGTCTTGCACATGTCAGACATCGGAACATATCGGAGGTCAATCGCTCTGCTCCTAAACCAAGAGCACCTACCAAGACCTCCGATCCAACCATCACCACCATTGTCCAACTCAATCGTGCGACGACGTCTTACGCTGATCCGAATACCTCGTCCTAAGCATGGTTTCCGTTTGCGCTCGCAGACGTACTGCTGTCGTCATTCCCAGCGCCTTCTTTCGGTCGGTCCCAAGTCCTGATGTGGCCTGCAATTCAAACTGTCAGCGGTCCACTTCCTTATCTCTCATTTTTTGCCCATCGAGAACTCAACAAATGCGTGGGCGGATCCCTGGGTGGCACTAGACAAGACGGGTGTTCCTGCGCACGGCCACAGCGGCGCAGTAAAAGCCGCCCTTATCGCAGATCACATCGTTCTAAGGTACAACGTGCGCGTAACGGGTGGATATGAGGTGATTTAGACGAAAACTTTGCTGATGCCACTCACCGTTTTTACATGATGTTAGGATGCAGTCCTCTTCGAAGCCTAGCCAGCACAGTGGGTGCTCATGGACGGATTTTGCCTACGGGTAATGGCGATTAGAATTTTGATGTTGAGGTTTCAGACAAGAGGTACTTACCAGCACTGGAGGTAGCATGGCCGTGCGTGCCCGAGGCTCCACGGGATGCACTACTTCTTCTTCATCCAACATGCTGCCCGATGTAAGGTTAGAATTCGATCTCAGTCTATTGACCGAGCTTCCTGTCTGGGTGCGCTGCATCTTGAGGTTCGACGACGCGATACTACCACGCTGTCGCACAGATGCCTAAGTCAACGTCAGCCGCGACTTCTTTCGCATTCAAGAATTTGGACTCACGGCGCGCGGCCTGTGCAGCATGCCGACACTGAAGTCCCACAGCAGCAAGCGACAGTCCTCTCCTACACTGCCAATTCGGTAGTTGCGCTCGTCGCATCGCCATGGATCGAATTGCACTGCAGTCACCCATGAGTTGTGACCTTGGCAGCGTGCTACCAACATGCTGTCCTCTAGAGACCATATGGAGACGAGGTCATCCTGCCCTCCTGTGACGACATAGCGGCCGTCGGGCGACCAGCAGACGCACATCATGCCACCATAATAGCTCATGTAGTGGTGGAGCAGCTTCTCGCGAAGGAAATCCATAATTCTGAAGGACCCATCCTCGGACACAACAGCCAGATGACGTCGGTCGGGCGAGAACTCGAAAGCATTGACCTTGGACCTTGAGACTTGCCAGTAGGACACAGGGTTTGTTCTTTGGTTCTTAGAGTTGACAGACTTCTTGATGGTCAAAAGAGCTTTCAGTTTCTTCTCCCCATCAGTCAGTCCGTTCTCACTAGGCGATGTGATTTCCTCAGGCACGAACACAGCGTCCTCTTTTTCCTTGTCGTACACTACCAGGCTTCCATCCATATGCGCTGCTAGGAACAGGTTCTCGCTATTGGGTAACCACCGTATGTCCGAAACAGCTGTCGCGTTGATGACGCCGTTCTTGTTGATGCGCGCGTATTTTTGCGACATTGGCTCGTACCATATTATGTCGCCTGTTGAGAAACCCATGATGATGTCAAGATGATTTGGCCCTTTTGTGATCTGGTTTATGTCATGACACAGTGCATGCGCCTTGGTGAAGAGGATTTTGGTCATGTGCTCTTCCTTTGTAGGCGATGTCAAGTCCAGCCACTGGAATGCGCGATTGATGTTTGCGAAAGCGTACAGACCGTTGGGGTTGTGCTCTTGTAATCGCTTTGTCAGAGCCTCGTGCGGGATAACTCTGGATACGAAGGATGAATTGCTCTTAACAATATTGCTCTTCGGTTTCCGCCTCTTGGTAGGATCCTTGGAGTCCTTGCCATTGATCACCGTCAGCGCCGTATTGCCCTCTCCGAATACTGGTGTGTTCAGACCATCCAGCGGCGAGGATGCGATGCCATTAGCGCCATATGAACCAACATCGCTTGTTTGGCTGTTCGTTTCGTGCGGCGACTCCTGTATGCTTGGAGGAACTTGCGATCGGGTGCTCGTGCGCGTGCCGAATCTATAGAGCTGGGATTGCGAGGGTTGGCGGGGCGCAAGGGCAACCAGCGAAAGCTTGGTACCACATGTCGGCGGAGATATCGTGGTCGCAAGGGGGTTTGGGTTGTGAATGGGGGCCTCTGAAGGATGCGGCGGGGGCGTGGCTAGGTGGAGGTCGTCGCGCAGCACATAGGTACCTTTCATAGCGTTAGTGAAGACAGTGAGGACAGGGCTAGGGGCTCATGAATTACCTTCTCCCACGACGAGCTGATATTCAGGCCCGGTGGGATGGGTGATGCTGTTGTTGGTCTCGATAAGCTGGCCCGGCTGCGCGCCCGGGTAGCCTCCGACGGGATAGCGTGGTGGAGGAGGGAGGACGCTGTACACTGATCAGTCAAGCTTCACATGCGGGTGGTGGAGCATGATAGGGCTGCGATTGGTGGGCGACTGGCGGTCAGCACGTAGATAGGACAGGTACTCACAACATAGCTGCTGCAGTGTAATCGGTCGCGAGCTAACGGCTGTGAATCGGTGAATCGGATTGATCCGGGCTGGTGGAGTCCCTGGAGTGGTGCCTGGCTAGAGACGACAGGGTAGATTAAGACATTAGTACTGGCCGGGAGAGGCAGGATACGTCAATTTGAGCGCGCGGAGAAGGAAGCTTGTGGCCGCGGCAGTAGCTGGGTGCTGGGATGGAAGCGCGGGCCATGGAACCAGCGGGAGGGAACTGGGGAAGTGGAAAGCGGAGACGGACGCCTTACGGCTCCGTGCACAGGTCAAGAATGTTCAAAGTGGCAGCTTTCATCCCGTTGTTCGTTGGTGGAGATGCTTCGACATGGGTTCGGTCCATCTGCAGGGCCGCCTTCCAACGGTCGAGCAGGCATCGCACCTTCCCAGCGACCAATCTTGCGGGGCCCGCTGGCGGGGAAGCTGCGATCGTCTCCCACGTGTGCCAAGCCTTTTGACAGCACTGGAACCACTGGTGCATTGCTCTGACCACCGGAGCAATTGGATTGAGATGCACAACGTTCCACAATTCTAGACGACAGCCAGAGCCGAGTCTAGAGAGTCTCCCCTGCATCACCTCCCTCACAGCCACCAGTCCGCCTCACGATGCAATAACACGCGGCAGGGAAATGGCGACCGGTATGTGGAGTTCCCCTCCCGATTACACGTCTACGCCCACTAACACGCACAGTACGGATATGTCTTTGCGGCGACGATGGCGTCGGCAAGAGCTCCATCATCACGTCTCTCGTCAAGGATGTCTTCGTCACAGCCAAGATCCAACCCGTCCTACCACAGGTCACCCTACCGCCCACGCTCGGAACGCCTGACAATGTCACCACCACCATCGTCGATACTTCCGCCCTCCCCCACGAACGACACACTCTCCGTACAGAACTCCGAAAATCCAACGTAATCCTCCTTGTATACTCGGACCATTACAGCTATGAGAGGGTTGCCTTGTTTTGGATGCCCTACTTCCGCTCGCTGGGCGTCAACGTGCCAGTGGTGCTATGCGCGAACAAATCCGATATCGCTTCAAACGGCACGACGTCGCAAGTAGTGTCGGAGGAGATGCTGCCAGTCATGAACGAATTCAAGGAAATCGACTCCTGCATACGGACGAGCGCCAAGGACCACCACAACATCAACGAGGTCTTCTTCCTCTGCCAAAAGGCCGTCACCCACCCGATAGCACCCCTGTACGACTCCAAAGAGAATATACTGAAGCCGGCGGCTATCTCTGCATTACAGCGCGTCTTCCATCTATGCGACACAGACAAGGACGGATATTGGAACGACCAGGAGATACACGATTTTCAGATCAAATGCTTCGAGAAGCCACTGGGCGACGATGACCTGGCAAACATAAAGAGGTCGATGGAGCGGTTTGCTCCTGGTCTGACCGGCGAATATGGCATGGACGAGAAAGGCTTCCTGCTGTTGAACAAAATCTTTGCGGAGAAGGGTCGGCACGAAACCATCTGGATTATACTGAGGAAGTTCCACTACACTGATAGTCTCAGTCTCCAGGACACGTTCCTCCACCCCAAGTTTGATGTTCCTCAATTCTCATCGGCCGAGTTGAGCCCCGCTGGCTACCGCTTCTTTGTGGACCTATTTTTGAAGTTCGATATGGATAATGACGGAGGACTCAATGATAGAGAGCTTGCCAATCTGTTCGCACCCACCCCAGGCATGCCAACATCATGGGTAGACTCTGCATTCCCGTCGTGTACAGTGCGCAACGAAGCAGGGTACATCACGCTACAAGGTTGGCTCGCGCAGTGGAGCATGACTACTTTTGAAGAACCCAAAACGACTCTCGCGTACCTAGCATATCTCGGATTTGAAAGCGGCGAACGTGGGGGGACGACCAGCGCACTTAAAGTGACCAAAGCGAGGAAACGAAGGAAGAAGCCTGGACGAGTCGAACGTAACGTCTTCTTGTGTTACGTGCTTGGGTCGAGTGGGAGTGGAAAGAGCTCATTGCTGTCTGCTTTCCTTCAACGACCGTTCAGCCACACGTACCATCCCACCATAAAACCGCGCTCAGCTGTCAATAGCGTTGAACTCAAAGGTGGTAAACAATGCTATTTGATTCTAGAGGAGCTCGGCGAACTCGAACCCGCGATTCTAGAAAACCAGGCCAAGCTAGATGCGTGTGATTTGTTGTGCTACACATACGATTCGAGCGATCCCACTAGCTTTGCGCATATCGTCGAGTTGCGGAAAAAGTATCCTCACCTTGATCAACTACCAGCGGTATATACAGCCCTGAAGGCAGATCGGGACAAGACGATGCAGCGGTGCGAGCAACAGCCCGACGAATACACCAGCGCTCTGAGGATGGCGCCGCCTCTACACGTCAGCACGACGTGGAACAGTATCTCGGAGCTGTTCGTCCACGTAAGTACTACTCCCGTAAGTTTACCTCGCTGAGCTAACGTCGTATAGCTAGCCGAAAGCGCTACCTATCCATCGACGGCTTTTCCCAAACAGGAAGAAGACGAATATGACTATCTCAACCTTTACTTAGCGCTCGGTGCCGTTACCTGTGCAGTAGGTTGCGCCATGTTCGTCTGGAGACGCAGCAGCGCGTCCTCCTGAGGCTAGGGGCCAAGGCATGAATTTGAATTGTTTGCTTCTTGTATATACCATGGCAGCACACCACTTCTACCCCTAACTAGACTTGTCGCAATTCAAAAACACACCCTTCTCGGAAATGATGGCAATGCGATATTCACGATAATGGCGGAGGGTCAGCGCTTAAGCATGACATCACCTTGGCGTGCGGCGGCTGCGTTGTACAGCAGACAAGTCTCAGTGGCACGAGCGAATGAATAGACGCAGGGACATTTACCCCTGGCGCTACGGCCTGGCGGGTTAGGCGGCCATATGTGGATAGATGATATCGGTGAATTAGCATAGGATCACGATGGTGGGTAAGTAGTGTCGGAGGCGATGTGTATAGTGACAGCTCGCTTGACAATGGTGTGGGCTAGGAGCTCTCTGCTACAAGTTACATAGGCTGGTAGCCTGACAATACCCCGGGGATCTGCGAGTAGTCTGAGACGGCTATTATTGTCTGTCGCCACGCATGGTATCGCGGGTAGTTGCAACCTGGGCATTTGCTTGCCTGCTTGCTTGCCTGCCTGCCTGCTTGCTTACTTGCTGCAAGAAGCCTGAGGAAGCTGGTGTAGGGATTGTTTTTGTCGTAGAACGTTGAAACGGTCCATTCTTCTTTTTTGACCAGACCCTGATGTACATGTTCCCAACTCAACAGGGCGGGTTAAAGTGGCATGGTGGTCCAAGCAGTTTGGATGAGGGCGGCTGCTGGGCTCAGAAACACATGTTCCAATGGTGATGCTCCCTTTTTGTGGCGGAGTGCTGGTCGCGCCCGACTCGTGCGTCCTCTCGGGCTGACTTGAGGCTAGTGAGGTTCCGCGTTAGTCCCTAGACACGGTGCTTGCAGTTGTCAAGCAGCACCTCTACGCATTCTCTCTTCCTGTTGTAATGGTCGCTTTCATTGTTAATCCTACGCTGCATGTCAAAGCCCTCTCGCCCGCCAGCCGCCCGCCCTTGGATGATCCACGAGCCTCGGCGCCCTAAGCAAGCCGTGGCAATTGTGCCAACCCGCACCTCCGCATTCCTCGCAAATGGTGAGTTGGCCTCGCGCATGTCCTGAAGCCCGCGTGCAGGCGCATACTGGGTGGGAATAGGAAGACTGCCAGGGAACCACCATTGTTTGGTTTCTCTGCGGCATTCTCCCGGCAAACGCCCGCGGCGCCAACCCAACCTCCAAGGAGCCCCCAAGCTGACCAAGTCTCGTACCCCACAGGCAACCGACCGAGCACGAGAGCTAGACCGGCTATATCAGATGCGAAACCCTCCCCGTCGGGGGCATGCGCCGCAGATATCCATCAGCGATGACAGCCACCACGTCACAGAGGCCATAGGCGACATGTACGGCGGAGATAGCGACACCGAGTCGAACCGACGCAGCCTGCGACCCCTAAGCTTCATTCCCAGCCCCAACGGCGACTCGATCCAGTCCTTTGGCGCCTTCGAGGCCTTTGACCCCTTCCCCAGCGCTCCGCCCGCAAGATCCCCGCTGCGTCCCCAGCTGTCCTTCGAGAAGCCAGCAACGCCGACGAGCCCAAATGGCAGCACCAACATGCCCCAGAAGCGGGCTTCTATCGGCCGAAACCCCTCAAACGGCGGCGAGATATCCCCTCCGCTGTCTCGCTCAAACTCCAACACGGCGTCGCACCAGTTCCCGCTCAACAACCTCGACTACGAAAACAGCCCTGCGGGTCTTGCCCAGGAATTGAGCAACCTGCAGGCCATACGGAGGATGTCAATGGGCGTTAACAATGCCGATCCCGATCTACCTTCGTTCCAATCCGCCAACTCACCGCCCTCTCCTCCCGCCGTGTCTGAGGAGGATGAATCAAAACTCTTCTGGGTGCCCGCACGCTTGCACCCCGAACTCGCCCCTATGGAATTCAAGACTTTTATCGAGGACAAGATTGACAGGACGAGACGACGTTCAGGAGACTCGGATTCACTATCGCCCGACGGTGCCATGGGACGTCAGGGCTCAGGTGGAGGTTTACGGCGCAAGAAGTCTATGCTTTCCAGGCAAATCGATACCGGTAGCGGCTACAAAGATGGTGCTGAGAGACTGGAACGGAAACGCTCCGGTACGCAGTCCAGCGGCGGCCTGTCCAATCTTCAAGAGCTCGAGCACATACAGGAGGACCCGGTGGCCTTGATAAGACGTATGAGTATCGACCACAAGGCTATTGCTGGAGAAGGGGAAGAGGGTGTAGATGGGATGCCAATCGTACCAGGCAGTAAAATGCGTGGTTTGGGGACGCTAAAGAGGTCAACACATACTACTTATAGGCGAGGCAGTCTACGCAAAGGTGGTCCGGCCCTCTCACGTCGGCTTGTCTCTGGCCGACAGGCAGAAACTGATACAGAAGACTCGCCGTCTACCTCCCCTGTACATTCTACCGAAAGCATACCTGAAGTCCCGCCTCTCCCAGGACTTGCGCGCGTTCAGTCTGAACCCGTCAATGGCGCATTCGAGGGATCGTCCAACAACTTCTCGCGGCCACAAGCAAATCGAGCATCTCCCAACTATGGTGGAGAAAGACCAGGCTCATCGGAGGAACATCCCAGGTCAGCTTCTACTGAGCCTATGACACAGGACCGAACTTCGCCTCAGCCTCGGCAGTTCCATTCGAGAATCGCCTCGAACGGTCGAACGACAGCACCTTTGCCCGGCTATACCCCTCCACCACAGCAAGTACCCCAAATCATCGAGACACCACCGCCACAGGAGCAGAACAGGACACCTCAGTTTACGCTACCGGAACGTCACTCTTCCCGCCAACCACCGCCTCAATCCCAGCAACAGCCTGCTGGTCCCCGTCATTATCCCCAGCCTCAGCAGCAGCCTCCGCAACAACAGCGCCAGCCTCAGCCTCAAGCAGGTCGCCCAAATCGCCATGCACAAGCCGCCCAGAACTCCCCGATCAAGCCCGCGCAATCTTTTGATGATTTAGTAGCCCAGCCTTCCGCGATGCCTGGCCAGAACAACAGAGTGGACTCGTTGTCCATTATTCCAAATGCGCCAGAAGACAAGAAGTCCGACGGGAAGTCCAAAGACAAGAAGGACGGTTCAGAAGGCGGCCCAAGGAAGACTAGTTGGGGTTGGTTTGGCGGTGATAAAGAAAAGGAAAAAGACAAAAAGGGTGGAAAAGACGCAGAGAAAGAAAAAGACAAGAAGGTCAAAAACAAGCTCAGCAAGCCTCAGGAAAAGGGTCACGATGATACAAGACTAGACCTCCTGCAAACGTCGATACAAGGTGGTGGTCGTGGTCGTGAAAGCGTTGTGTTGGATCGAGAAAGTATCAAGCTAGAAGAGGAGCGGAAGAAGGAGAGCGCCAGAAAGACGTCTAGCGAAGGCAAGAAAGAGAAGGAGCCTGGACTACTGTCCTCTATCTTCGGAGGAGGAAAGAAGAAGGGCGAGAAAGAGTCATCTCACAAGAAGAACGCCTCGCGCGGATTATCGCCTGAGCCCCCGCCACGCATCTTGAAGCCCGATATCGACTACAACTGGACCCGATTCTCAATCCTCGAAGAACGTGCGATCTACCGCATGGCTCACATCAAGCTCGCGAACCCTCGTCGTGAACTCTACTCTCAGGTCTTGTTGAGCAACTTCATGTACTCATACCTCGCCAAAGTCCAACAAATGCACCCGCAGATCTCCATTGGTAACTCCAAACAAGCGAAGCAAGCTCAACAGGCTCAGCAACAGCAACAAGCCGCGCAGCAGAAGAAGGAGCAGCAACAGCAGCAAGCCGCTCAACAAGCTCAACAACAGCAATCGCAGCCTGAGGAGTTTGCTCAGTATCAGCGATACCAGCAGGTAAATCCTTGTCGAAACCAAGTTTGTTTGGGAGAGATGCTAACAAAGATACCAGCAACAGCAGCAGCAGCAACATGAGCAACAATCAGAAAAATCCAATGAATGGCCAAGCGTACATCAACAACAAGCGAACGGGGCGCTACAACATCAGCAACAAAATGGACAGCACCAGCAACAACAGCACCAACAGCATCAAAGAGGCGCGTCGCAGGGTAATCAATATAACCAGAATCCTCGCGATTCTCATCATTCTAATTATAGTGCGAATGGAGGCAGCGGTGGATATAGCGTTGCAAACACACAGAATTATCTGGGTCAGTCGGGCAAAGGAGGAGGGGGCTATGCTAATCATTCGGATTCTGATCAGAGTCAGAGGGCTGATGATGATATGTGGTAGAATTGGTAGTGTCATCGAAAGCTGCAGGGCGAGCATGGTTATCAAGCCCCGGCTTTTCCACTATCCGAACTACGCTTCTTTCTATTCCATCTTCCCTGTTTAGCTCCTGGACCGTTTTTCTCTTATCTTCCAAATGTATATTTACTGCTGGTACGTTTTATTGTCTAATCTCGCTCCGGATTATTTGGGGCGTCTGGGGAATTTGGCTGAGAATAGATAGATGGCAGTGACGAGATGGGATGGGACAACGTCTGACGGTCGTAAGATGCCAAGATGTAGATAGGGAATCACATCTGATGTAGTTTGTTCAAAACTGAAGCCAACACTACCACTGCACGGGACTGACATACATGTGTATGTGTTGATCAGTTCATTATCCGATTCGAGCCAGAGGCTGAAGGTAGCTGGGAATGTCTACGGCGTTTCAGAGAATGGTGCAATTCAGAAGGAAACCCAAGGCGCGGACAACACAGCTTCGCAAGACGCGAGGCTTCGGCGTAGTTTGTGTCATATAGTAGATAAACAGTCATACCCATGGAGCTTCATAGACATGGCGATACCTAAGAAGACACAGGCTAGGTTTTGACTTGGGGTTTATGATAAGATAGGTAAACATCCCTCAGTATCGATAACAGCATTGATAGGACGTTGATCGTAGATGCCACAACTTGATTTGTACAAATCTTAAGTATACGAGCATCTTTGTAACTTGAAATCCGGACTTGGAAAGGAAAAGAGTATCCAGAATAGCCGCTCACCTGTGAAATTGCCAACATGTGGCTTCTGGAAAACTTGATTGTCCCCTAGCACCAACGGAAGATCATTCTGAAGGTCACCAGAATTGAACTTGAACTACAAAGAGCGTTGTTTGTACTTCGTGCAAATTGTCAAGGGAGTGGAGCTGTGGTTGAGCATATTTAAGTACTCAGCCCGCAGTTTTGGGTTTGTCCGTTCACTTCATCACTGAGCTCCCAGCAACACAGTGGAATAGCCAGGATATCAGTCTCAGAATGGCGAGAATCAAGGATGTTCAGCCCTCGCTACCAAAAGGGGTACGTCAAAAAGATGGTGACAACAAGCGTGATAGTCAGGGCGATGCGACGGTGGCACGAGGTATGAGCACGAGTAAGAATTCGCGCTCAAAACCCAGCCTGAACAACGATACATCTTCGGAAGCCGACGAAGAAATTCTAGAAGAGTACGATAACGACGAGGCAGATATAGAAAAGGGTGGTGCGGAAGAAATGTCCGATGAGGAATCGCTTGAAGAATCTCAAGAGGAACGCAAGAGAGCGAACCAGATTCGAGAGCAAGAGAAAGACCAAGCCGACCGCAATACGAGCATCGATGAAGAGGAGACTGCACCTACAGACATCGATGATGATTCTGCTGACCCCTCCGATGTATCCAAGAAAGGCCTGCTCGATGAGATCTACGCGAACTGGAAGATCCACAAGTTGGGGGAAATACTGCGGGACGGGACAAGACGGACTTGGCTTTCTGGTACCACAAACATCGACGACCATGAGTGGAACAAAGAGACCTTACACGGCTTTCGAAAGTTATCTAGTCTGACGAAGGACAATCGTGAAGGTGCAAAAGCGGATATTGCTAGGAGACTGCAATGGAGAAGGCATAGAGCAAACAGCGAAGGAACTGGTAAGGACCGGGACGTCAAGGAGCCCAGATTGTGCGCAGATTTAAAGGCGATTTGCGCGGACTTGAAGGAAAAGCGGAAAGCAGAAGATGATGATGAGGGCGATGAAGAGCTGGCAGGACCCAAGAAGAAGAAGCCAAAAACGAAGGGCTCTTCATCTAAAGATGATGAGAACGATGTTGACAGCAGTCTCGATGACTTCCTTATTGGCACTGAGATACAGAACAGAGAGGACAGAGATGTTGCACTCATACGCATCTGCGAGAATTTGGGAACCACTTCGATCCTTGAATTTCTTCCAGCAGGCTTACGTCCAATTGGTGTAAACAGCGATGGAGACCTAGATTGGAGAATTGTTGGCCAAATGCTTGACTTCTCCAACACTGTTAGAACAGAAGCGCAACGCAACATGTTGAGACAAGAATTGGTAGACCAAGTGGCAGAAAGAACAGGCCTCGATTCCGATATGGTTTGTGCGGATATTGCACTAGCTGGCGAGCAATTCTATCGTGAAGTAAGACATGCAGAGCCGCCGACTCCGAACAGGACATTGCGAAGTCACGCTCGACCAAACCCACCACTGGCTGCAAGTAGATCAGCTGAAACATTTCAGGAGCCTCCTATGACGCCCACATCTGGATCATATAGGTCTTCAAGTAGGCGATCCCAGTCCAGATTTCTGGGCCCAATTCAGAAGCAAGGTGCCACTGATCAAACACGACCCGTCACAAAAGCCAACAGCAAAAGCGGAAGTACATCTCATCAACAGCCAACCCAAAGGACTCAACAACAGGGGCGCACCTCCTTCACTTCAGATCTTCCAGAGCAACAAAGCTACCAAACAGGACGGCAAGCCTTCTCACAAGCCCCAGTACGGCCCGCAAATGAATCGCTCCCTCAGGCTCTTGATCTTATCTACAGGAATTGGAACATCGCTTCACTTCGCGACATCATACCATTACGCTTGATCCCGGCGGGTGTGAGGAGCGATGCTGATTTCGACAGCACGATCGTCGCGGGTCTTGTTGTTCTATCCAACCTTACAAACACACAAGAGCGCCGTACTGCAGCTAGGCAAGAGTTTGAAAACGCGATCGGCTGGTCGTCAAGGCCCAGTGTAGATAATGTGCTCTCTCTCATTGCAAGAATTATTGCGCGATTCCATCCAACAGAACAACCAGAGAGCAACATCCATGGAAGAACACTAGTTCAGAGTCCAATCAATCAGACACTGGGAGAGGTAGCCGCACCGAATCTCGGAGCGCAGGCAAGGGTAGAAGCTGCTCAAGAGACGCATCGACAACGACCACTTCTTCCAGCTCACCCACGTCCCAACACCGTCGCTGAGCCTCTTGCCACCGAATCGGGGCTGCGAAGAGCCCTGGACGAGCTAGACACTAGTGATGCTGAAATTTTGGTCCGACAGTGCAGACGCAGGCTCGCGTATTTCCGTAGTATTGGTGCATCTACAGAAGAAGACGAGGTGCAGCTGGAAGTCGCGATAAGTCTGCGGGATCACGCTACATACTCGGCAAGGACTGACTACTTGCTAAGACGTTTACAAGAACAACGAAGAGGAGCGCGGAATGGCGAGCTGGCTACTACTGGGCAGTGTGAACAGGATATGCGAGGAAGGGGTGCAGAACAAGAGGGAAGAGACAGTGATGGTAAAGAGAACGGAGAGGATGATGGGGGTGACGTGGATGGCAATGCTGAAGGTAATGGAGACAAATAGGTTTGTGGAAAGTAGAATAGCAGAAGCACATACGCTTGTTGCAACGCCGAAGAGATATCTTAGCTGCAAAACAGCTAGAGTTGGCAAAATAGCAAAAGTTTCACAACTAGAATGCACGTCAGGAGTTAGCAAATCAGGATGACGTGAAAATTAAGTTGACATTCATATCATTTCTCTTAGGAAGCAGTAAGCTTTACAGCTAATTCATGACCGACATTTGCATACTCAAGTGCAGCTGTCGTAATAGCGCTATGCAACTACGCTTCGCTTGTAACAATTCCTGCGTATAGTCATAAAACGAACAACTCTTTCCACATGCTATACCCGGTCCTCACCAGCCTCGCAAGAAGCGCGTTTCGTATTCTGATCAAAGCGTAGTCCCTCTATCAGCGGCGCGGAAACCCAGTCATATCGCAATCATCCATCTCTTCAGACAGCGGAGTATTCATGCCGCCGCCCAAGGAAGCACTCGAGTAGCAAGTGCTAGAGCCGGCGTTGGAAACGGAGGTGGTGGAGGAGGTGTTGTCGCCAGCGTACTTCTGTTGTAGGTCTCGGAGGATCTTTTGACCTTGTAGAAGCGAGTCTCGCTGACCGACTAGTTCCTTGCGTTGGTTGTAGCGCTGGGGTGACTCAGCAAGGAGGCGAACTGCGTTATTATAACCTGAATTGCGATGTTAGTAAGATGCTTAGTGGGACAGGGAGCAGGATCTTACCTTCGCTGCCGTCATTGAGACCCAGTCCGTTCTCAAGCTCATCACGGAGCTGCGTACGTAGTTGCTTGAAGAATTTGGACTCAATGCGCATGCAGACGGCATCGTGGAAACGGCGCGCTGCTAGCATATAGTAGGTTGTGACTTGCGCCACAACACTGAGCTCTACCACGTATGGCTCATGGTTTAATACCTCCATTACCCTAGCGTCCTTCTTCAACTTCTCTTCCTCTTGCGCAGTGACTGGTCTACCTATCTGCTGGTGCCTTTCACGCTTGTAGATGTTGAGGCGCGCCTTGAATCGATGTTGGCGGTAACAATCTAGAATAGCTTCCTTTTCCTGTTCGAAGATCTCGTCATGAAAGATGTAAGGTCCCTCCCTCTCGTCATTGAGACTCTCGTCGGCCATTGTAGTGCGCTGCTGGTTGAAGTTAAGGCTTACCATCTGGTCAACAATCTGCCAGGCAGTTCGGTAGAAAGTCGATCCCTCATATTTAGAGAAGTGCTTGTGGAACAATGCTTTGATCTGATTAGCAATCTGACCTTCAAGCATGTTGAAGAAGTTATTGAGCGGCTTCTCCCAATGTTTAAGTGTTTTGAGCATCATATTGTCAACAACACGAGGCTCAATCTGACCTGGTACCTTGCTTTGCGAGTTTTCTGCGAGGTGTTGTGTGACCTGGTCGAGAGGAAAGTTCTTTCTGAATTCACTGAGGTCTGAGCCTGGAGCCGCTGAATTTGGTAGACGTCGACGGCTGGGTGTCTTCGCTGGTAAGGGACCTGGACTCTCGAGCTTTCGCTTCTTCGTGGGCGTTTCGGGGTTACTGCTCATTGGTGTGATGAGATGAGCATCGTCTTCATCTTCCCCTTCTTCTTCATCGTCATCAACAGCAATGGCCTTGCTGGCAGAGCTTCCAGGTTGGGCTCCAAGCACGTCCATGTAGACGGTCGCATCTCGATCTCCGCGCGTGGACATGGTAGGCTTCAAACTTGCCAGAGCGTCGAAAAATGACTTCTGTAGCGCCTTCCAATTGTTGCGCCATGCCTTACAAGGAAACTCAGCCTCTAGCTCCCTACGTACATCTTGGGAGAAATCGAGCACGACGTCCGAGATCATCCGAGCAGCATTGTGAGTTGGTGGGTCTGGAAATTGCTGAAGATCAGCGAGTACCTGTTCAAGCCTGGCATTGATCTCTTGGTCGATTATAGGGAGTTTCTTAGTAATTTGCTCCGCGAGCTTTCCAGAAAGAAAGCGTTGTAGGTTCAAAGTACCAAAGCGATGGCCGTAGTCTACAAAGTCTGTCGCCCAAGGCTCTCCTTCGGCGAAGAACTCCTGCTCTCGAATACGAGCCTGCTGATGGGTGAGACCTTGGTTAATTTCGTCTTGGTCCAGGTTTTTGACGACGAAGTATCCATGTCCCAGTGCGAAGCGCTGTTGGTCAAACACTGCCTTCAGCTTTTCGTAGCGGGATCCTGCTGGTAAGCGGTCCGGTTTGGTAAGCACACCTAGAGATATTAGCGACGAACACAACAGAGGGCATTATACTTACCAATACACCGATCTGTGGCGTTGAGCTTCCGCGCAATTCCACCAGCAGTCGAGTTCGCGATGTCGTTCTCTAATGAGCAAGTCACTAGGATAAGGGCCTCTGGATCCTTGACATAGTCTGTCACTAGATCGTGAACAAAGTCAACTAGATACCCTGTCTCTGGAGACTCTGCCTGACCAATAATGCCTGGCAAGTCATAGAAGCTTAGTGCAGGAAGATCCGGATGTGAGATTGCGATGAAGACGACGTTTGGGCTAAATTCACAGCTGTGATAGTCTCCGAGCGCGCCGATGGGTGCTTTAAGGAACTCCTTATAGTCCATCATAGGATTTGTAATCGCCGTTTGAGCGCGTGCGATTAGCTCTTCGAGTTGGCGGGGGTCTTCTGTAGATGCGAAGTGTGTATCGGTAGGCTTGGGCATTTGCACCCATCCTGGAAATCGTCCTTCATGTCCTCGACCCTTTTTACTGTCATAGCCAAAGCTTCGGCGTAGACTGATTGTTGCGCTCCACCCGGCGCAAGTGTTCTCTGAAGGTTCTAGCTTGATGAAGAGTGGGCATCTAGTGCATGTATCGGTCGAGCGAGGGGTCTTGATGCCTGATATTGCTTCAATTACCGAAGATTTCCCGGTGGATTGCTCGCCTGGAAAGTTATGTTAGTTAGGTAAAGGTTGAAGTCGTGCGACACAACTTACCCAAAACAATGCACTTCGGCAAAGGGATCTCTAACATCTGCAGGCCCAGTCCCTCTAGCCGACTGATGGTTGATATGGCATCTTTCACGTGTATACCAAGCGGGTCAATTCCACCAGAGGCGGGTGCATTAGGAGTTTGCGGTGTATCTGATCTTTTGTTAGTTACTTAGCTACAATTCTTCAACACGAAGCTTACCGTCCTGACCAACTAAATGCAGCGGTTCCAGACCCTCACTCAGACGCGATACGTCGTCGCGGTCAGACAGACGCTCTGGTTCTCGCGAAGGTATGTGAGGGTTTCCTTCCATGAGCGCGGCTGCAAGTGTATCATCCTCGCTGGACGAGAGCGGCTGTTTGGTTGCACCATTGCGCGTACGACCCCGAGTGGCGCCTGCCATACTTTCGAGCTTGTGTGATTGATTCTGGTAGTACAGGTGGACGGGTGAGTAGAGGTACAATCAAAGTTGATGGCGACGACAACACGCGCGCCAAGACTCCGCGTGAGCTAAACAATTCGCGGTGACACAGATGCCTAAAGCGGGGTAGGAAATCAAAACGCAGAAACGATTAGGTGAGCGTAGAAGCTTGTGGACGAGAAATAAGACAGGTGAACGCAGGTCAGGTACCCCAATTGGGACGGTGAACGCGGATTGTGTGACACATTCCAGCGCAGCGGTGAGAGAAATGGCAGGAATGTAAAAGATAATGGCGACTTGTACACTGATGATATGATAAAGAAAACGGATGATAGAGATATAGTGAGAGTAAGGTTGCTTAGACTTGTTGGACAGGCTGATGGACGTATTGCACAAGAGAGAAGTAGAAAAGAGAGAGGCTCTTCAGCCGCATCTTATGCCGTGATTACCAGCACTGGACACTCATAAAATGGCCATCCAATATCCAGAACAACTTAAGTCAGTCTTGAGGCGTCTTGTAGTTGGGATCGTTATTCATTCCGGATATAACAGCCGCGTGCGATGCCCATCGCTCCAACGGGTAAGTTATAGCTGCATTATTCGACATTTCTGCTACAGATAGGTAGTAATATATAAGACAGTATACAGACACAAGTCGACAAAGACTGGGCGTTGCACGGTGATTCGGATGGTGAAGGATGAGGCATGCCAGGAGGTTTGATGGCAGACGATGGTTGCAGCGGCCCCGAAGATTCGCCGCTAGCGCCAAAGGAGCAAGGGTCCTCAAGAAATTCCATCGAAGCGCATCGTCACCGGTGGCTATCGTCCGACCACAAGCTCGCCCACACCCTCCCGTCGCCCTCGGAACCGCCCAAAATACGTCTCTCACCTTAATAATACATAATGGATCATTCGCGCGATCCTTGTCCCTGGGTCATTCTCAATGACTTTGGTGGTGCCTTTGCCATGGGCGTATGTCCCCTCAGGCGCAGTGTCTTCAACCCATTACTAACTGTGGGCTAGGCTGTTGGAGGAGCAGTATGGCACGGCGTAAAAGGCGTAAGTACGGTCTCGGTGTCTTGAAGAAGTGCGCTTACAAGCCTGCAGTTCCGTAACTCACCCTACGGCGAGCGACGCATCGGTGCCATCACAGCCATCAAGGCCCGCGCCCCCGTTCTCGGCGGCAACTTCGGTGTTTGGGGAGGACTTTTCAACACATACGACTGCGCAGTCAAGGGAATACGGAAGAAGGAAGACCCATGGAATGCCATCATCGCAGGATTCTTCACCGGCGGATCGCTCGCAGTACGAGGAGGCTACAGGTCGATGCGAAACGGAGCGATATCCTGTGCTATCTTGCTGGCTGTTATTGAGGGCGTATCAATTGGCTTCAACCGCATGATGGCCGACAACACAAGGCTCGATGCACCCCCACCACCACCGAGCGATGTCGGTGCAGGATCTGGCGGCGGCGGCATGGCTGTGGCCGCGTAAAACACTTTCGATTCACGACTTATACCTGTTCGGAGCGAACCGCTATAACGCCAGGGATGGGCAGCAACATGTCTGGGCAAGCGGTGTTTTTGGGATGTTTGGCATATACCGCAGGCAGGTTTCGGCAGCGGGCGGCGTTCACACTCTCCTCAGCTTTGTGCTATATCTGTATCATACACGCGACACGACTTGTACAACATCTGGAGGCGTCTCTAGAAGAAAACATGAGTGTGCGGAATTCAGAAGATACGACACATCTCAATGTTCATCAGCTATTGCGCATCTACTCTATTGAATCCGAGCTTACCGCAATAGTTCAAACTCAGATCCAGACTAAAATAACTCAATGACATCATCAGGCCCACCCATCAGCAAACAAAATCTCGAGTTTCCCCAGGCTGGCGGCATTCTGCGGCTCTTGAGACATTTCCAATGCCTCAAGCGCTAGGGCATACGCGTGGAGAAGCCGCTCAAGGTAGTCAGATATAGCTGCAGATTGAGCCTAGCCCATACTAGTCAGAGTGGCTGACGAGAACGCATTGACCGCCCTTCTACCTCGAATTACTGCAACTTGCCGTCCTTTCTGCTATTGTGACACAAGACCACGATGCTGCTTCTACGCGCCCTATCATCGCAAAACCCATCTCATTCATCTCACATTTCCCGGGCCCGCTACTCGTTAATTCGATAACACCGACCACATCTCCAAAGGCTTCCGCTTTTGAACGCAATAATGGCACCACGAAGAAGGAAGCAACTCTACGAGGACGTTCAAACCATCATGCTTAATTGGGAAATTACATCTTTCGATAAATGTTTACCGAAGACTCTATGTCCCAACCACAACCAGGAATGGAGGGAATGGAGTAATGAATTCATGGGACTCTTGAGTTCAATTGCATCAACGCCCAACACTACCCATCCGGACTTTAAGAAGAGATTAAGGAAAACCATACAGATACGCAAAGAGAAGGATAGCTCTGCTATTGGCAGCAATGAAGTGGATTTGAAAACCGTTTTGGAAGAATATAAAAGTGAGGCTGAGAAGACAAGCGCTGATACGGCGCACCCTGGACCGAGTTCACAAGAGAAGCCTGCCAACCGCACTACTCGCCAAGCAAGCATTCAGATTCCAAAAACACCAATGAATCAGGAAGATGACGACGAGGATGAAGAAGAAGGATCTTCCGAGCCCCTCGCCGGCGGAAAATACCAATACCTTAACGGCGTTAAACCCGTCAAAGTAGATTTGAATCCTGAAGCATCTGCTGCAAAAAAGCCTACGCGGCCAAAACCGGCAACGAGAGGTAAACGACGAAAAGCAGATGAGGAATCAGTGTCAGATCCTCTTGCAGCAGAACTCCCAAGTCAGATCCAACAAGATCCAGATCCCCGGGCACCAGATGACACTGGTTTTCTTTCGGATCTTGATGGTGATGAGATGGATTTGGGAGGAAGAAAAAGGAAGAAGCGGTTATCGAGACTCCAACAACAAAGAGTCAGGGAGCCGCATTGGCAGATGGAGATGGATAACACTGCTGTTGATATCCCGGACCTAGACGATGGTCTTGACACTCCAACCGTTCGTAGAGAGGTCAAAGCTCCTTCGAATCATGGTGGAGGAGACGTAGAGGATTCGTTTACGGGCAACAAGGAAGACGTGGCCATGAAGAACACAGAGGACATGCCTGTTTCGGGTGCGGAAGACTCACCTACTCATACCGGACAGGATGTCATTATGAACGACGGAGAGGACGTGGAATTGGAATTGGAGAATTTACCTGAAATACCGGAGAATGCGACGGTCGCGGAGAAAAGGGAAATGGAAGAGTTGAGATTGAAGATGGAGCAGCGGGTGTGGAGAATCAAGGTACTAAGGATCAAAGAAAGGGAGCGTGGTGGTAGCGAGATGACTGAGCAAGATGGAAATAGTACGAGTGCGGAGAATGATGTGGCGAGCAACGGTAGAGTGTTAAGAAAACGAAGGGGGAAGTAGAAGTTGAACACCTCGAAGACCTTAGTGAGCGAAATCATGTTGCATGTGAGTGTAACACACACAGCCTCCGAGCAACGTTCAGATGATCTGCTATCAAGACTATTATTCACGGTGAAAGGAGCTTTGAGCTCGCCAATGGTTTAGCTAAAAAAGCACAAGGACCAAGTCTGTAGTGGGACGAAGGAACGGCTCAACCGAACGATCCAACGACTGTTTTCGACATCTACATCTACTGACGAGTCTCATCATGGTCTGACAAAGACGATCATCATATATCTCATGATCATGCAAATTGCATGCTCAAGTCGTTTTCCCTTACAACATCGCGATCTCTCTCTTCAGGATAGGGTCAACCCACTTCTCCCACCCCTCCTGTACCCCACTATTCTGCCACGCCTTCTGATTGATAGGAAGCTGGTCGACCCAGCGCATGATGTTCTCGTACACGTTGCCGTCGTACATACCCAATGCGCTGCAAAGACTTGCGTCAGAGAAGTCCCATGCGTCGGTCAATGCAATTGCCTCAGGCAGTAGCTGACCGAGCAAGCCGTTGACCAGTGAGCGGATGAGATCGAGTTGCGTTGTTGTGAGATATGGAGAATCCGCATAGACTGTCTCTACGAAAGACAGGGCGTCGACTGTTCGTGGATTTATAATGGTGGAGAGGGCGAAGAGCGAGCGCGTTCGGTTCAGTACAGTGCGAAGGCTGGACGACGTGGTATCAGGAAGACTTGAGATAGTGTCAATGAAGGACCTAAGAATGAAGTATTCAATGTGAGTTCATGAGGCGGAGATCGGCAGCATCATATGCTCATTCCATGCATCCGTAGGCAACTTGCTGGAAGCTCGGATAGCTGAATGTGCTTTGACGACCAGACGATGTGCGCGGTCGCGGTAGATCGTAAGCTGTATTTCCGGATCGAGAAACTGCGTTCCGAATGCGCTGCATGCAATGTTGGAATCTTCAACATCAGCCAGGTACTGCACCTGCGGCTCGGTTGGCTCGCCATCTTGTAGACGGTCGAGTTGCTTCAGTAGGTGCCGTCCAACCTGCTGCCAGAGAACATAGTTCTCGCCCTCAAATGTCGCACCGCCTGTGAGAGCACCGACAATATCCGGGAGGCCGGATATAGACATATATCCATGGCCACCACATAGTTTGCGCGCGTCTTCAGCACCGCCAGCGGCCTCTGATGTGACGTATGCCTTCATACCCGCAGTCAGTGCATGAACAGATGGCAAGAGAGAATGGTCGTTTTTGCTCTGCATCTCACGGAGTTCGTTGTACTGGTCATCGCAGACCCGCGAACCGAAGAACATTGCATACGTCTTAGCTATCATGCTCATAAGACGGAAATGTTGGTGTTTATACTGGAAAATGCTCGCTTCAGTGTTCAGTGCATCGGCAGGACCAAGGCCCTGTTGTCGCACAACGGAATACCGTGTCGCAATTGTCAATGCTTGCGCTAGTTGTACGGTAAAGATACCAGGCATCCGGCCGCGAACAAGCAGCATGACCGAGTATGAGAGCTTGGCGCGGAGGGGATCTTTGGTAAATGTGCCGTCGCGTGCGAGCTGACTGTGCGCCATGAGCATCTGCGATTGAGGTATGCGAACTTGGTCGAAAGAGGCGAAGCCATTATCTGCTTCGTTATAGCTGGTATGTTGTTAGATTCGCAGCGCTTTTTATCTCATACGATCAGGTTACTTACCCGAGCTTCAAGCCAACGTCGCCCATCTTGATACCAGGCATTGGCTTGCCATCCTCCAGCGATCGAAGTTGCACAAGGAAGATATGCGGACCCTGGTCTTGACCACCGGCGATAAGTCTTGCCATGACTGCGCCGTGGGTGGTCGAGAAGCCCAATCCAGCAGGCCAAAAGTTCGTTGATGAGATTGTTGGTGAATGAATGACGAACTCATCGCTATCAGGGTCGAACGTCGCAGTGGTTTCGATGCCTCGCACGAAAGAACCATGGCCAAGTTCAGTTTGCGCATATGTACCGAGTATCTTGCCGGATCGAGCGAGCGGAAGCCACTGTGCCTTTTGTTCCTCTGTGCCGTTGTGTTCCATTGCAGGCTCAAACAGAACAGCTTTGTGACCGAAGGGGCTATCAGCCGTTAGTTCGACAACCTGTTACTTTTCCTGATTTGACCTACCTTGCGTTTACGAGGTTGTATCGAGGAGTGACCCATACAAAGTGTTCGTGGTTATGCTCGAGCATATCATCAAGACATGCTTTTCCCATCTCGAGACCTTGCTCAAACAGATCCTCGCGTGAGGTTTCTGAGTAGCATCGCGGAAGTTTCGTACTATCGTAAGTGCCGAGTGCTTTCTCAACACGCTTGAAAGCAGCTCGCCGCTCCTTAACAATACGTTCCCTGGCAAGAGGATTAGTAAAGAGACAGCAAAGACCTTGTGTACCGAACATACTTTCCCCAGAGTAAACATGTCAGCTCGAACGTATCAATGGAGCCTGACGCTCTTGCTTTCTGCATCAGCGTAGTCTGCGTGTTCTTCGCCATGTCGACTGTTATCACTTAGGAAGAATCTGTAGAACAACAAGAGAGTGATGTGATTGTTCTATGTGAGAGAGAGGAAACCCTAAGCTATATAGTAAGAGGGTTGACGGTATTGAATGATCGTGAAAGGAACATGTGATAGGTATCTAAACCAACAGAGTCTGGACCTTCAAAGGCAGATAGACGGGAGTCGATTGCTGGACTGGCCAAAGCAACACCTCCTATAATCAGAAGTACACGACGGGCTTTCCATATCCATGATGATCTGCTTTCCATGAATCTGCCGCGGATCCTTTGCTGTCCATCCGCCATCGAGTCAGATACTATCAAAGTGCTGGTTCGTTGTTTGACGAATGTGAATCACAACCGTGCCTCCGCGACACAGGCATCCCAAACAGAAATGGCTATTGGATGCATCTCCAGGATGTTATCTCCAGAATACGTATGCATGGTCCTTATGTTCGTTCGATGCGGCATACTGACTTCCGTTTAGCGTCAAGATGATACCGATCGTTTAGTAGATCAGAGGATCCCTTGAACACCTCTTTGACAGCTCAGACCTATTCAACCCAAAATGAACAAACCCCATAAGTTCGAGCATATTCGTTGGGCTTTTTGCATCAAAAATGTAGCTAAGCATGTGAGCGATACCATGGCTGTCCTAACAGATGTGCTCGGGGTCACTATCCGTCTAGGCAATGCCGCCAGAATTCGGGATTGAAGGACACGGGCCGTATCTATACCTAAGGGCCGCCCTTGGTGGCGTTGCCGCATGGAAAACGTCTTCATATCCGAGTGTTTTGTCGAATCAGATGTCTCCGGTGCTTGGAATAGACATTTCCTGCGACAGTTTCTTGGGAGTCAACGCGATATGCGATGGTATTCGACAAGTCTGCTTCTTGAGGACGAAGGTGTGACAATCAATGGCCCTCTCGTTCTGCAGTTCTATGCCATATTCAAGCGAAGTCGTGCGGCGAAGATTGACATAGCATGGGTGGCCCATCTCTTATTCAATTGTAGAAAGAAGGTGGCGTATTGTCTAGAGTTGAGGCGGCATTAACTCCTTATCCTGTATGGATGCACTCCACTTCAACGTCTACGTTACACGCACTATTATGCGAGCTGGTACATCTCGATACTAGGCGCTATGAGATCGGAACGCGGTATCGTGAACTTATGATATGCCATTTCGGCTGCAGAAGTATGGTGAACAATGGACGTCCACGTCCAATGCCACAGTCGTGGTGTGCTGCGACGCGGAGGACCTCGGGGGGTTTGGAAGCGCCAGGTCATACGCGGTTAGCTTGCCATGCAACTCGCCGAGGCGACACGTGCGGAAACAACTGCCGCGTATTTTCACCAAACTGGCCCCTCGCACGCTCTGCAACACCAACGGTCATCGCGTTGCTTCCCGGTTTTGTCTGTTATATGCCTCATCCCTGGTTCGTTGGAAATTTCCCTCAAAACCTCCGAGGATCATCGGCGACGCGTGTAAGCCAAGGCTGTTTAGACATCTCGCATACGGCCTGCATGTAATCAGCTACTCATCACGAACAACAGCTGGTTGAGCCACGAGCGCTGAGACTTGATGGGTGCCATTGAGTGCCAACAAGCAGTCTGCTCAAGCTTTTTTGGCATCCTTAATCATCAGTTTCATGCGGGGCGTGTCGTATTCATGACTTTCTCCGGCTTTTGCCCTTTCTCGGATTTCGGACTTAACGACTATTGGTTCTAGACGCGTTGTACCCTCCAGGGTTTTCTGACAGCTCTTTGATATCCATCATGATGACGTAGTAGTGTATCTCTGCTTGTCGCTTCTGCGGAGCTTGCGGCATTTCGATTCGTGGATCTGGGTAAATCACATGCGTACAGGGGTTACCTGCAGCACGCATCGTGGTAGGGTAGTATAGCCCATGATTAAGAATCAGTCACCTTGAGGTCATGACATGTCGCACAGGTACTGGCGCTATCAACCCACAGTGCGGGATTTACCTTCATTTGTAAAGGGTCGTATCCCAAACTTCATCCTAGATCGAAATCCTCCAACTCCATACTCAAATCATGGCGCCCGCCGAACCAAACGCAAAGCCTTTTGAGCTTTTGACCACTGAAGAGCCGGATTTCCCGGAAGAGCGAGAAGGATGGAAAGGATATATCGAGTGGGAGCGATACCCAGAAAAGAAGAAGAAGGCGGCAGAAATTCTAGCGAAATATGACTTTCCTGTACCTCCCGAATTCCAGATGAAGCCGTTACCCGACACCAATCCAGTCTTAGAGGGCGTGCGATGGAAATACTACCACTACGCTTTGGGTAAAACGACCAAGGATCTTCCAGCCATTTCATGGGAGTACGTCAAGAAAGAGAAGAGCGATGACATGATTCATGTCCTGCAATTCCCTTACAACGGAGAGCCGCAACGAAAGCGCCTGGTCGAGAATGAGATTACTCCCAACAAAGACCACTTTATTCGGAACCATGGAGGTGTTCCTGAGATTGATCCAGAAAAGTACTTCTTTGAGGTCGAAGGTCTCGTCAACACGCCAAGGAAGATCACCTTGAAAGAGCTTCAAGATGAGAGCAAGTTCCCGCGTATGGATACTTGCGTTACTCTGCAGTGCAGTGGTACCCGGCGTATCGAACAAATTCACGACTACCCAGGAGACGGAGATGAACTCATCAACGCGCCTTGGGGAGAAGGCGCCATCGGAACTGCCCGTTACGTAGGCGTCAGTCTCAAGAAGGTTCTCAAGTACTGTGGGCTGAAGCCGGAAGGAAAGCACGTGGAGTTCTTTGGCGCCGATACCTACTTCAAGAAGGGTCAGGTGTACAACTACGCTGTCTCCGTGCCAACTCGCAAGGTGAAGGTCAACGAGGTTATGCTCGCTTGGGAGATGAACGGAGAGCCACTACCTGCCATCCATGGTTTCCCACTTCGTGTTGTCGTGATGGGCTACATCGGTGCTAGGAGCTGCAAATGGCTAACCCGCATCAATGTCATTGATGCTCCTTCCATGGCTCCTGTGCAGATGAAAGAGTATCTATACTACACCCCACAGAATGGCAAGCAGAACGTCACGTACAGTAACGGTTTCAGCATCCAAACTATGCCTGTTGCCAGCGCAATCATGACGCCTGTCGACAAGGACGTCATTGTTCATGATGGAAAGATCCGTATGACCGGTTGGGCATACAGCGGCAGTGGTTGGCCCGAACGAGTCGAAGTCAGTAATGACGGAGGCGGCGTGTGGTATGAAGTACCGTACGAGAACTTGAGCAAGAAGTACTACCACGCCTGGCGCACATGGTGGATCGACATCCCAGTCGATGCGGAAGGATGGCTGTAAGTCTCGCACACCTAAATGTTTGCTGAACAACACTAATGATGATTAGCGAGTTCTGCGTTCGTTGCTGGGATGATGCTTTGAACACACAACCAACCTTTGTGCGGAGCGCATGGAACTGGGATCTTCACGTAACATCGTCTTGCCAGTAAGTGTTTTCCATCTGAGTGCCTTTGCATGTTTTCAGGCATACGACGCTAACGATTCTGGCAGCCGTGTAAAGCTTTACAGTGTCAACACGACCAAGCCGGCTACTCAGAAACGCCTCAAGCAACTTGAAGATCACGGAGCTTCACTATTGCCCATCACCAGACCTTTACCGTTTGACCTCCAGTCGGATGAAGAATACCTGGAGGAGATGAAGAAGATGGGAGGTCGTGATCCGGAAGAGTAAGCTGATGTAAGACGGTTGCTTGTCTTTGGCCGCTAAGCGGGATGGGTATCGAGCTAGACTTGATATGCGAACTGGACTACAATATATAGTATGGCTAACTAACTAGCCAAGTAAGACATATTAATATAATGAAGATATTCCTCGGTCCTCGAAAGACAACCATGATGAGTGGGGGACCAATTAAGTGGATGCAGGCTAAACAGCAACATTTCGCCACTCCATACTAACAGTCTATCTGGTCCTTGTCGGTCTCAGACTGCATGCAGTCAGTGAACGGGTGAGGCCTAATCCCGCGGATCGAGTCTAGTTAGTGATGGATTGCGGCGCGGTTAAGACATGGCCCCACCACGGCCACGAGCGAGAACACCATCTTGACAGCAACTCTCACGCCGTTCTGGATCTATGACAATCTGCACTGCGATCGTTGTATGTATGGTAAGCTTACAAGGCGGTTTCTTATAATGAAGATAACAGAGTTGATGGATTCGCAACCATATCCTAGCAATACCAATACCACTGTCGAATGTGCCTCGCCACATCAATACATGTTGCATGAGAAGCGCTGCTCCTGCATTGCAGTGCAGTAGGCCTGCAGAAATCATCGGAGTTCGCGAAGAAAAGGCAGGAGCGGGTGGATGGTTCAAATATCAGTGGATTATGTGGAGTATAAACGGAACTGTCTTTGCCCATGTCAACCGTGTGACAGCCGCAAGCGCCCGGGGCCGTGAATCTTGCTTCGAACGTGGTCGCTATTGGATAGATTTGAAGGATCTATAGCATATCGATTCTTCCACCGGTAGCACACTAGGTCGAAGATTTGATAGAGCCCAGAGTACCCAGGTGAGTCGTGACTGCTTGAGCCGCTATAAGTATCGTGTAGGTAATGCGATAGACCATGGGCCAACCCCAACACTTTCACCTTCCGTTTGTTACAGCTTCTCTTTGTTCTATATACGATGCAGTTGTTCACTCGTGTCTTCGCCCTTGCTGCTGCTGTAGTCCCGTTCGTTGCTCAGGCAGCACCACTTGCAGCTCGCTCCCCCGAAGATGTAACCGCAGAACGATACATCGTTCAACTCATGCCAGGCGTCGATGTCGAATCAGTTGCTGCTCACCATGAGAAGGTTCGCAGTATCAGGCGCAGAGATGATGTCAACATAACTGCAAGCATTGACCAAGAGTACGACTTCGGAGACTTCAAAGGTTACACAGGATCGTTTGACCCTGCTGTCATCGCTGAGTTAGAGGCTTTACCTGAAGTTCTCATCGTGGAGAAAGACTCAATGATGTTTCCCTCTGCTCTCGTAACACGTACGTATCTCATATACTCTGGCAGGCAGTGAGAATGCCTCAATCTTGAGGGAACAGTGCTGATAACTCCCAGAGAACAACGCACCATGGGGTCTTGGACGAATCTCATCCAAGAGTAAAGGAGCTACCAGCTACATATACGATTCGACTGCTGGTGCAGGTACCTACTCATACGTGCTCGATAGCGGAATTCGTACGACTCATGCCGAATTCGAAGGCCGTGCCTCCTGGGGATACAACGCGATCGACACCGTCAATTCTGACATTTACGGTCATGGCACCTTCGTGGCCGGTGTGATCGGTGCGAAGACTTACGGTGTTGCTAAAAAGACAAATCTCATTGGGGTTAAGGTCTTTTCTGATGGGGGCGCACCTACATCCACTATAATGAGTGGTCTGAATTGGGCAGCGAACGATATCATCACCAAAGGCCGACAGACTTCTGCCGTGATCAACATGTCGATCGGCGGGCCAGCATCCTCAGTGTTTGACAACGCTGTAACGTCACTATATAATCAAGGTATATTGTGTGTCATCTCTGCGGGCAACGAAAACCAGCCGGCGGAGAATGTTTCGCCATGCCGCGCTTCTGGGGCTCTCTGCGTCGGAAGCGTCGAGTCGAATGATTCCCGTTCATCTTGGTCGAACTACGGCTCTGTCATAGACATCTGGGCTCCTGGTGGCAGCATTTTGTCTACATGGCACACCTCAGATACAGCCACATCAACACAGGATGGTACCTCAGCCGCTGCGCCATTTGTGGCTGGATTAGCGTCTTATATCCGTGGTCTCGAAGGATTGTCCATTGGTCCAGCGACCAGTGCGAGAATTCTGGCGTTAGCTACATACATACCTCCATTGTGCAAGTTTGATCCAGCGAGTGGACAATACATCTGTCCCGACACAACAAAGGAACCCAACCTAGTGGCATACAATGGAAATGGACGCTAAAGGTTCAACAGGAGGATTTGTTGCAAAATGAGGGTGGGTTTGCAGTGTGTAGCGACATAGTTCTATTTCGAATGAAGCTAGCGTTATAGGACAACATGCACGATACTCGCAATGTGTGAAACATATCAGCTTTGTAGATAGGAATGCGCAACAGGCCTCGTAGACTTTGTTTGAAGATTGGTCTTCCCTTAATGGGAGAATAGTGGGACCGAGCGAACGTATTAGCCCGCCTTGGCAATCAAGTGGGGCTGGCAGGGATCCGCGTCTCCGATGACGTGCACCGGCCTCTCTTTCCCTTCCACCCGCCTGCAGGTGTCATAGTTTCTTTCCGCATCCCCTAGTCCACGTCAATGCATTTACTTCTCATTCCTGGGTACGCTATGGCTCTTCCGCTTCCGACATCAGCTTCCTAGACTGGCATGCCTCGATCAATCTGCTTCTAGTAGCACACGCCTTCAAGGTTAACAATCATCGAGCATGGAACAATGAGTTCGACATTTAGAAACGATCTAATGTTTACCTGTCTTGTTAGAACTACCGTTGTACGAGATCTCAGAGCCATATCAGTATGTTGAAGTACTGCGTGGGTGAGAGAGCAATGAAGATTTGGGTAAGATAGTGATGCAGTGAACCATTAAGATGTTCTCAGTATAGCAGATTCGGCGGCTACAACTCGTACGCACCGTACCTGCTCACGCAGTTCTCTTCGACAAAGCTTCGACAAAGACGCAGCAGCAACTGCGACCTGACTGTTGATTCGGTAGTCGTGACACAACAATGTGAGCCTACGTTCAAGCTCATGTTCACAATGAGCATCTCACCACTATTTCCATCGCTACTGCACCCTACAGTCATGCGTTATGGCTATGATCATTGACGCAACTGCAAAATATGGAATACGAGGAGCCATCAGATCTCTGCTATCGCCACAGAGCACGTCGAGCGATTGCAACGAAAGATCTACTCCGCAATACGTATGCGCACGCAAGAGATACGAAAGCGGAAGAAAGGGACGAATATGTGTTTATCGGATCGGCGATGAACGTACAGACAGTGGCGGACGCAGAGTCAGGCTATACACCAATGTAGAAGGTGCCAATCTCGACGAAGACGAGCGACAAAGTTTCATTGGCATTGAGCTTACTGGTAACTACAACATGAGCCGCAGCACGAGGCACAAAAAGGGCCGAACCCCGCCAACGCCAGATAGAGGGATAAAAAGCAAAATAGAGTTACAGAGGCTAGATGTCAAACCTTGCGATCTAAGCGACGACGGTTCTGACAGACGTTCCAAGAGCGACGGTACGGCTTCGTCTCAAGCTAAGGGATTAAGCTCAAGCTCGAACAAAGAGTCCATAGTACTTCGACCTGTTGACAAACGGAGGCGTTCACATCGGAAGCCACAAAATGATCCACATGAAGGAGTGGGCGTGGTGGATCGTTGTCGGTCTCCAAATCAGACCCTTAGACGGCATAAGGCTAGTCGATTCGGGGATCGATTATCACGAGAAGGGCCCGTAGATAATGAACTAGGAGCCTATTGCTCAGGCGCGCTTCCAATTCCACAACATCAACTGGATCGACTGAGCCTGGAAGCAGCACCAACTGAACCTCCAAGAAGAACTCCTAAAACCACTATCGGCAGTACCATCAAACTCGTCAATGACTTGAGAAGTGACACATCAGGGGCTACCAAACATCGTCAAGTCAGTGGGAAGCAGACTGATTCTGTCGTCTCAGAAGCGCCTGGGAGCCCGTTCAGGCAACCAGGGTTGACTCCACAGGAGTCATCGGACCTGATCTTCGGCACAAGCTTCGAGATGGCATCGCGGAGGAAGCTACGAGCGGGTAGCATGGACGATTGCATTGCGCCAGACATGCATGAGTTCGCATCACACCTTGTACGCGATCATCCGCTAGGCGAGGCCGAACAGAAGAAGGAAGCACGTAGCTCATCTCACAAGTCAAACACTTTGAATCTCAAACATCTCCCATCCGGCGTCAGCGGAGCGCAGAAGCCGCAATATGTTGCAAAGATTGCCTTGGAACAGGTTTCTATTGATATGCTTGGAATAGTCCATGCTCAGACCAGTGCGCCATCCTATCGCTCCATACCAACGGCCACACCTGGTACCCCTCCTTACACACCAGACAAGGGCGAATTGGACCAGAATTAGGCCATCAGCATCACGTGCTACGTCTATGTTAGTCAAGCAGCATATAGGCTCAAACAGGAAGCTTGTATGGAGAATAGAATTTAGGGGTATTACTCTAACGCCTTATACCAATGGCAAAATGATAGCCAGTCCAGACTAGTCCAGGTCCTCAAATCCAGGCCGTGATACCAGTTGTTCGTCATGGTGTTTTCTCAAGCTCTCCATCCAATCGTCCGTCTAGTGGATCAATTCCGCTATGCTGACTGGTATCGTCGTCTAGGTCCTGATATTCCTACATTGTGTTAGCTTGACATTGGTGCTGACGAGGTTCATGACTCCTGTGTGACCAGGGTTACAATAATTCTTGCCCCCTTGACGGCAGAATACTCCGCGTCCTCGATGTCAGGATATAGATTACTTACCAAGAATTGTCCCATTTGCCATGACTACAGTCGGTTAGCTGATTGATCCTCGTAGGGGTAGAAGCTTCCAACATACCAAGCGTCCGCCCTCAACGTAGTACCTCCATCCCTCTGAGGACCCTAGGTATACTAAAATCTCCCATGGCAGCTCCTCAGTGTTAAACTCCCAGAACGTCATGTACTGATATCTTGATGCTTTGTCCACTTGTTTGTGTTTCTGGTCTTGGATTCTGGATACGTGCTCGAGCTTGAAGATGCGTGTGCGGAGTAGTTCGGGATTCTTGAGCATGCCAGGCGCAAATTCATCTTTAAACCATGCTAAGAATTCGTCATGAATTTCCGAGTCGGGTTGCCATAGGACTATCATCCACATTTGGATATCGCGGGAGTCTGGTTCAGGGCGTAAGTCACCATGTTATATCCTTGTGTCATGGTCTTGTGGGACACGTACCGCCCCGCCATTCTTCCCCATACCAATTGGCATACTCATTGTAAACCCGCGTCTCTATTATCGCCTCTTTCGGAAGTCGGTCCAAGGCTGGGCATAGCTGCGCATCCAACTCTTGCGCACTTTGGTGTTTGGGTAGATCATAGATGGTCATGAGGCTGCCTTCGATTGCAGCTACCTCTGCGAATGTATTGTCTTCCACCTGCTCTGCAGTGCGGGCAGTGGAGTTGATCTTTGCAAGGGCAGCGGGTACATGCGTACCCTCGTACCACTGATTCGCGCCTGCGGCATCTTCGCCTAAGTCCGCCCAGGCACAAGCGATCCTTGACATGGTTTCCCTTTACGATTTGTTGTTAATTCGTTCCCGCGGAGGTGGCCAGAAGAGACGGGCGCAGATGGGTAATCAAAATCGAGTAAACAAGGCACGAGGTAAGGTAACGCAGCGGGCAGCGCAGCAAAGAGGAGCACGCCCAGACTCCGCCCCCAAAGTTTTGTCTTGGGCCCCTAATCCCAGTGCTCTCGAGCAAGGAACTACTTCGTAGGGGCATGTTGATACCCTGTCTGCTGTAGGTGTTTCCCCAAGTGGCATGGGGTCTAGCGGCCCGTCTAGGCCTGACTTCGGACCAAAAATGACGCCGTAGTATTGGTGAGGAATTTGGCATTGCCAAAAGTTAATTTCACAGCTATGGGAGCACAGTCAGTCCAAGACTATGTAGTTTGCGAGCAGATCGCATTGAAATCGGTAAAGAACGGGACCGTGAGATCATAATGCGCTGTTATCCGTTGAAACACAAAAGTTGCCCGAGTCATTGGTTCGACCAGAGTCGGAGTGCGGCCCGGATATGGGGATCGTGCGCGGGCAAACCAATGCGCAGTCACATGTCCGAAACAGGAAGTTAAGCAAAGAGAATCAGGTACCATGGACTGCTGATCAGCATGCATCGGTTCGCTGATAGCAGAGGCATCCCTCAATTTGATATACAAAGGATCGCTCAAACAACAGGAACGCCGACCAGAAAGCCCTACAAGACATGATCGCCCAACCTCGACAAGCCACCAAAGTTTCTCGCGTATAATACCGCCTAGCGCGCCACATCGTAAATCCAGCGAGTTGGGAAAGGTGAGGTCGTTTCCGACCCACCTGCCTTATCACGTTTCCGAGACTCACTGCCTCTTGCGCTCGTCTTGTCATCACTCCTTTCACAGAAGGATGCCATCTCCGATATCAACGTGCATCTTCTTTTCGTGAATATCTCTCTTATCCTTCCTTGGAAAGCCACGAACAGCGCGTTCGCATCCGAGAGCGCGGCATTTGAATTGATGGTCCTGCAGATGAAATCCCCGGCAATGGCGGCGCAGGTCCTGCAGACGAGAGTATCTCTTGTTGCAGTTGTCGCGTGTGCATATGTAGACAGTCTTGGTCTCCGTACAGAAGGAGATATCGGTGGAGACATCTGCTGTAGACGAGTGGTGCTGCCCCTTCCTACCAACCCCTCTTAACGTATTCTGTCCCTTCCTACCAGTCCATCGAAACGTATTCGGTCCAAAATTGGCAGTCGATTTCAACGGCTCAAGGAAGCCTGTCCCGTACTCTTTCTGAACCATCGGGTAGCATGAGCCGTGGTTGAGGCAATCCTGATTGGAGGCGTAGGAATGTTCCGTTCTGCATAGGCTAGATGGGGGCACGATCATGGCAAGATATACACACCATGGCATTGATAAAAGGAAAGAGATACATGTTGTGTTCAGTACATGCTTGACAGGCGGAAAGAAGTCAAGAGATTACCTATGAGAATATCACCTTGGACTGCTCCGGACCAACAGGTTTCTGCTGGGTCGATAATACGAAAGGGAGAAACAGAACTGGAAAGCAAAGAATAAACAAAGGGAACACAAAGGAAATCGTTGCACAAAGATACACGCTTTTAGGCAAACTCCGAAACGATGGTTTGTTGAATCCAACCACCTGACTCCTGTAGAAAGGGGGAGTTTGCCAAAAGATACGCGCATCCCCTTGCAACGGAGAGGCTGGAACATCGAAGATACATGCCCCCATCCGAACATGTCAGTGAGCTGTACTATAAAACATGCGACCGAAGACAACTTACGATACTCCGAGCTCGTTACCTATATAGTTGGCGGAGTTTAACATGAACACTGTATTTGGGTCGACTGTATCTTGACTCAGCCATTCGAAAGAGACCTGATGCTGGTTCGACAGTCGTTGCTGAGCATAACACTCGCCGCTGCGGAACGATGAGGGCAGGGATAAAGAAGACATGATGTCGGAAAACACCTCAGTCTGAGAATTGGAGTGTTCATAGTCGATACGATCATCGGGGTGCAATTCGAAAGCCATGCTCATATACTTTGTTCTATATGGTATAAGATTTGTAGGAATAGTGGATAGTGGAGAGATCGTGTTCAAGATACGGACACTGTTAAGTACGGCCGTCGCAGCGTCTCAGGCTATGGTGCCCCTCCATGCACACGCCCCTTGGGCTGAGGGGCACTTCGCCACGTGGCTCTCGTTACGTCCTGATCTTACAGCCATCTCACCATCTGGTGGCCTCGCGAGGTTTCACAGAGCTCGAGGAGCGTAAAATCAATCGCAATCAACACATTTATCGCGATCGTTTCGTTTCATGCGCTATACATAAGTCGTAAGCTTTGACAACGACAGGTTGCGATGATGTAGGTGCGGATGCATCTTGCGCGTGGTGAGGGCGTTGCCAGGCTGACTGGCGCGGAAGAAACACACCTGGGTAGCGATGGCGGAAAATTGGGGCCAGCGGAACGAAAGTTATCCCTTCCGCTTATGGCCAACCCAGGCAGTCTTACGTGTTGTTCAACACACTTCCAGATCTCGTCAAACTTCATCGGCAAATCGTATTCGTCTTCAACAATATATGTAGACGAAAGGTCGAGTTGCCTAGCTGGCCCCGAGCCCTTTCCATCAGCCATCGCTCATTCACGGCGTGTCGCCCACGCTACACCGAGATGTTGAAGATGAAACAGAATTCGATGTACCACTTTTTTGAGAACATTCAGTGTCAAAATGTCTGCCTATACATACACTAAATCTTGGCTACTTGTATGACCACACGAATCTACTGTTCCCTTCGATGGCGGTGTACGAGCAACCAATCAACCAATCAACCAATCTCGCGGCTGGCCAGCTCGCTGTGCCGCTACAGACAGGACGATCCTACGTTTGCAAATTCACTCAAATTCGACATCGTTCACCTTCATGACTTCACTGGTTGTATCTAATGAGGAAGGTTTGCTCCGAAGATCCAGTCCGACGACGAATCATCACACTGCCGTACCTGCATGAGATGAAGGATGGACTTCACTAATACCCCATCGAACACACCCTTCTCCAACATCCACGCCTCATCCGTTATGTTGGAATGATGGGTTCGAGCTAAGCATATTTTCTTTGTTCCGTTGTGTTGGAGTCGGTGGAGAGGCGCGGGAAACACCAAGGGCGGCCCTTCACCTACCCCTATGGGCAAGTCGATCAGGCGTGCGATCCGCAAACTTTCACATACACGTTATCGTCTATCAAGGCACTATAAAACCAGAGCTTAATAGTATGGATTCAACTACTGCGCTTCTACTCACTCGAGTCGCCATCCAGGATGTTACACAAAGTCCAATTGGCGGCGAGCGTCCTAATGGGCTGCTTCGCTACTGCATTACCTTCTTCAAACTCATCCAATGGAGCTCTCGAAATCTTCGAGTCTTCATTGAGTGACCTCGCGGAAGTCTACTACCAAGGTTCAGAAGAATTCGCTAATGCTACTATACGATGGGGCGCCGGGCAAACTCCCCATTACGATATGATCGTGAAAGTTGCAACAGAGGAAGATGTGCAAGCGGCTGTGAGTAAATGCATACTCCGGTACACTTGTATTCTAGCTAACCAGAGAATAGATACTATACGCCAATGCGAACGACAAGCCATTCCATGCTATTTCGGGCGCTCATGCGACGACGACATACCTCAATAACATTACCAATGCTGTTGGTATCTATCTACGGGGTATGAACGACATCGTTATCGCCGATGATGGCGACACTGCTCTCATCCAAGGTGGCATCCTTAATGGCGATGTCACTGACTTTCTCTGGGCCCATGACAAGCAAACCATGACAACGGCCTGTGCTTGCGTTGGTTACATCTCACCTATCCTCGGTGGCGGTCACGGCTGGAACCAAGGAAGGTACGGCCTGGCATCTGATCAGCTCGTATTCGCGCGTATGGTGCTCGCCAATGGTACCGCTATCACTGTCGACGAGAATAACCCGGATCTGTTCTGGGCGATACGTGGTGCTGGTCATAATTTCGGCATCGTGACTGAGGCTGAGATCAAGATCTATGACAAAAAGCCAGATGTGGACCAATGGGCAGTCAGCGGCTACTTCTATACACACGACAAGATGGAGGATGTTGTATCAGTCGCGAACAGCTGGATGGTGATGGCAAACAGGTCAGTGAGCCTTGAACACTACGTTGTGTTCTCTTTCGATCCTGAAGTGGATCCGGTAAATGTAAGTCTACATCCATTGCTATGCTCATACACCACAACTAACGTCACTAGCCCATTGTAATCATCTGGGTCATCTACCAAGGCGCCAGCACCGTTCCGACGCAGTACACCGACCCTCTCGTCGCACTCTCGCCCATTTCTACCGACTCCGGCGTGACCGACCTCGCTGGTGTGAGTAAGTACACAGGCGCCGACCGCAACGGCCCATCGTGCACCAAAGGCTTCACTCGTTCTCTAGTCCCCGTATCAGCAGACACATACGACAATCCCTCTCTCCGTAAAGTTCTCGACATTATGGCAACCTTCCCCCCAGAGTTCCGCAGCTCAGCCGTCCTACTTGAAAGCTACTCTACCAATCGCGTTGGCGAGATACCTAGTGATAGCACAGCATACCCGGACCGAGACGGCCAGCTGCTGTTCTCGCCGTTCATGACGTACGAGAAGGATGCTAGTCTGGATGCAGCAGCGTGGGGTTTTGCGGGCGAGATACGCGATACTTTGATTGAAGGGACAAACAAGACCTACGAGGCTTACATCAATTACGCGAGGGGAGACGAGACGACTGAGGAGCTCTATGGGTATGAAGCGTGGAGACTGGAGAAGTTGAGAAGGCTGAAAAAGGAGTACGACCCTTTTGGCAAGTTCAACTTCTTTGCTCCAATTCTGTGAGCAGTTTTGTTTGAGGACGAAAGGAAGAATGCTTGGGCGGATGGCAGGTGGTACAGTCGCCGGATTCAACCACCGGTGCCTGAGTTGGTCACAAACGTAGTATAGCCTGCTCCCAACAAGATGTTACACGTAGACAGTAAATTGCGCGTACCTAACCCGTAGTTCACGCTTATTCAGGCGCTTACTGATAGCTCGTTCCGCCACATCCGCACACTACAGCCTATCTAGTCACATCGCTTCCATGCTTCCGTATGACTCCGCACCCATCTAGTGCTCAACTATCGGTTCGTGCTGCACTTGTGAATCGATAGTGGCTGAATCAAATGGCTCGTGGTGGCTGATGCATCCGCAACGCGGGACGCGTACATACGTTGCGAGTAGATATAGAGAGGCATGTAATGGTATGCTGCGATAGCATGCCATCCTTTTGAATTAACTTATGCAATTGCAAAGATGTTCAGACAGTCGCTTGGATCTACACTATTGGGCGAAGACGACCGGATTCAACTTGTGGACCCTTCGTTCACTCTCAAGGCGTTTGCAGATGAACAGAACCCGTTCGACGCAATGACTGGAGCAATCACGAATAGTGAAGAGGCGTTTTCGGACGGAGCTACATCTCCCTCTAGCATGTGGTCAGAATTGAGTCGTCCAAGCAGCAGCCCATCCTCGACATCAAGGACGCAGCTGCCGAACACCAACATACTGGCTCGTCGCCCACTGGTATCTTCGCACACATTCCCGAAATATAAACGTGAACGGAGTTCGGTAGGCCAAGAGCCGCACGAAGCGAAGGAAGCAATACTTCAGCTTTCGCCGATAGAAGATCCAACGAAGGCGTTCAGACTGGAGGCGCCTTTGATATACGCCACCAAGACGCGCAATATTCCACGATACCAATTGCAGCGACAGTTCGATCGTAGCGAGTCTGTGCCCAAGTTGCACATTCGCGCAGTCCCTCTACGCGAGACTCGATCTCTCTCAGTACCGGCTGCCCACGTACTACGAGATCGGCAAATCTCTTATAATGAAGAAGAAACGCTTTACAGCATGGATCTCTTTGAGATGCGCGGTCGAAAAGCCGGAACGCTCCCTGGTAGTATCCAAATGACTTCTGGGAAGTCTCTCTGGGGCGGCGAGTGGACGCGATTCTGGCATGTTACAAAATGTAAGGCTAAACACCATATCTGTGATTACAGAGGGGTGTGTGAGCCAGAAAAACATGTTCTTTATTGTGTCAAGAAAGGTGTGTGGGAGGATGCTGAGGGTGTAGTCGTTGCGCGTGAAGAGACGGAGGGGCTGGGAGCATGGTGTGCCAATGGACTGCTTGTGGAAACAAGACGTCCATCAAATGAAGCAGGGCGTGTTTTGGAGATGACGGAGGAAACTGAGAGAGATGGAAAGAAACGCGATTTGGTGATGGCGTGCTGGGTAATGAAGCTGTGGATAGTGGAAGAACTCCGGTGGGAGGGAAATTGAGAGCTGTAGTGAGGCGCCAAAAATAACGCAAGATCTGTAGGTTCGGACGAAACAACCATTCTTAACCTCTGTAGACTATCTCTGCTGTTCGGCGCAACCTCGTAATCGCATCATAAGCGTGGAGTGTTGCCGATGAAGACGGAGGGAACATCTGCACTGTGCGGTACCTACCTAGGTAGGCATGGAATGCTGCGTGGACCCTGGCCACGTGTTTGAGCCTGTCGATGCCCTGCGTGTCGCGATTCTTGCAACGTGAAATCTCTTCGTCTTGTTTCTTCCAAAAGCAATCACCTGCGACAGCAATCAAGATGGAAAATGGAGTTGCGCAGATCAAGCGTGCAGATAGCGTCTACTTCGGCGCGCCTGCTAGACCGAGCGCCACAGGCCAAGGGGCGAAGAGCCACCGCCTCAGTCCGCCCATGATTCCTGGGATCATCGCTCAGAGGGGCATTTGCGACTTGGGCGATTCTGAGCACCATGACCCGATTATTCTTATCTTGATGCTACTGTCTATTTCAATGCTCTGAACCACCCTCCATCATCTTCCCAGCTGTACCTTGGGCGTTCGAAGCCCTGTCGCCGCTATGCCGCTCATCACTCCCTCACGCCTCGCCATCATCATCGTCTCCTTTTCGCTCATAACTTTCTTCTGGACTTTCGGCCTGCCGCACCAAACCCCCCAACCTTCGATACCTGCCATCGACCACTACGACCACAAGAATGTGCACACCGACCCGATAATACCGCCCCCCGTCATCGAGACACCGCTCGCGACAACACCAAGCCCGGTAGCACATGAAGACCGGCCTACTGAAACAGACGACCACAGATGGGATGACAAGGGAGCACAAGGTGGCAAGGGACAGGCGAAACCACCTGCGCCTACCAAGACGGGCATTGTAGATTACGAGAAGGATGGCGGACGATGGGAGGACAAGGAAAAGTCCAAGGGCGGTAACAAGTCCCAGGACAAGGCAGACGCAAGCGCAATCACGGTTCCTACAACACTAGCCACCGAGGCTATACCCGCTTCCAAGAGTGCGGATGCAGCCAGTGCGAGTGTTGCGCCTGCGAAGCCTGCCGAAGCAGTTCCTACACAAGTCGTCGAGAAGTTCTGCAGCGATGCCGACGGAGCCAAAGACGTCATGGTCGTTCTCAAGACGTCCAAAGCTGAGATCGAAAAGCTCAGCGGCCATCTCAGCAACCTCCTGTCCTGCGTCCCTACCTTCGCCATCTTCAGCGACCACGCCGGAGAGTTCCAAGGACACAAAGTATACGATGCGCTCGATTCTATCAGCCACGACGTCAAGTTCAAGAACAACGAGTTCCAGGAATACCAGCTTATGCATGCTGACGCAGAGCACAAGCCGGACGCGAAGAAGACGGCAGACTTGGATAAGTGGAAGTTCTTGCCCATGGTCTACAAGGCATACCACATGAACCCCAGCGCCAAGTTCTTCGTCTTCCTCGAAGCCGACACGAGCTTGAGCTGGACGAACGTACTGCAGTGGTTTAACAGGCTGGACTACCGGATACCCTACTACAGCGGAGCTCCTTACTTTATTGCCGGCACACAAGTAGCGCAACGCGGAGCAGGCATCTTCTTGTCACAGGGCGCTATACGACGATACGCCAAATCCTACGACGAAATTTACCAGACCAAATGGGAAAAGGACACAGGCACAGAATGCTGCGGCGACCTGATGCTGGCGAAGGCCCTTGGAGACGCACACGTCGAGTTCTACGCTTCTTGGCCTCTCCTCCAGAGCGAGCAGCCAAGTACACTGGACTACACCAGGAAGCACTGGTGTGCTCCTGCAGTCTCGTGGCATCATATCGATGGTAATGACCTTACCAGGCAATGGGATATTGAGAAGAAATGGACCACCGCCAATGGCTGGAAGAAGCCATATCTGTACCGTGACGCTTACCACGACTCTGTCGAACCGCACATCGAAACGCAGAAAGTGGGTTGGGACAACTTGAGCCAGGACACGAAGATCGTTGCGCCAGAAGGACGGCAGAAACAGATGAAAGAGGATGCCGAGAAGAAGAAAAAGGAGGGCCAAGAGCACGATCTAGGAGAACCAGAGGACAAACCCAAGGAAGAAGCTAAACCTCAAGGAGAGGAAAAGAAAGAACCCAAACCTCAAGGAGAAGAGAAGAAAGAACCCAAACCTCAAGCAGAGGAGAAGAAGGAGCCCGAGAAAATCAAGGTCGACAACACACCACCACCAGACTCCCGGATCTACCAAGAAGCTGGCCCCGGCTCCAAATCTAAACGCGAAGAGAAGAAGGGCGGCAAGAAGGGTGACAAGAAAGAAGATAAAGATAAGAAACCAGAACCGCCTAACTGGGATAAGCTCGCCGAGAAACACCCTGATGCGGCGGACAGCTCTGAGCGCTGCCAGAATGTCTGCCAGCAAGTTGAGGACTGTTTACAATGGCGGTACACGACCAAAGGAGATGGAGAGTGTCATCTCAGCAAGGTGGTTAGGTTGGGTGGGAAGGTTGGTGATGACCAGTGGACGAGTGGGTGGTTAGTCGACAGGATCCAGGGACTCACCAAGGAGTGGGCATGTAAGGAGGTCAAGTGGAGGTTCTATCAGTGAGTAGAACTGAGTGTTGAGGTGGTTAGATATGGGTAAAAGGATGGTGTTCTGGTGTTTGTATGTTCGTGTTGTGGCATTGAGAAGAAGGCTTTCTGTATAGTGTTAAGCTGACCAGGCTTCTATAAGTGGTGGAAATTGTTGTATATACCCTTTTTTATTGTAATGTACATGTTGATGGTACAGGACATGTAATATTGATGTGCTGGTCCTGTTTCATCATACCTTCCTATATTATCTATGGTGCTCGTCGTTAGAGATGCGCTTGCGAATCGGTCGAGAAGAGCCATACGCGAGAAGTCGGTTCGGTCTTCTAGAGCTACGGCTCTGGTCTCTCACTACCATCTTACTCACGAGTGGGTCTTCTCTAAACAGTTGATTCACTACGTATCACTCGTAGCATACAAAAGCTTCTCCTTCCGTCCTGTCACTAGAACGCGAGTCACAACGCTTGTTTTCACTCTTGTCAAAAGACTTCTACCCATTCACGATACTATTTGTAATATCTACACTGCACTCATGGTCTTGAATTATCTGAAAAGGTACAACTCACCCACTTTAATACCTTATTGTCTACTCATTCAAATTTAGTCTGATTAGAACTCGTGGGAAAATGCCACTGGTTCGTCTCTTCAATCGATCGCTCAGGCGATGCTTCCAAGGACGGCTTCCTCCTCCTAAAGGCCCAATACTCCTTGCGATGGCATGTTGCTGGGGGCAATTCAACTTGGATATTAACCGTGTAAAGAAGAAAATAGGCAAGGGCGAGGTTTTATTGAAGAGAGTATAGGTGGACTGTTAGGCAGGAGTCCGCATAGAGTCACATTTCCAAGCCCAAGCCAAATCGGTACGGCGTTCGACCCATCACAACTTCGTAGTTGTGTTTATGGCGTATCTACACCGATTCATGCACCCCATTATTGGCACCTTCCCACGCTTGACCTGGAATGGTAGGCGCTATACGCCTTCTTGGCTACTTCCCATTTGCCGGTGGCTCGTACGACAACAAGTCCTTCTATGTACGCCTGGCATTGCCTCCAACAGCAGAAGAAGTTAGAAATTCATAGCCATAATCTACGTCTCGTCTACATTCTGAACGCCCATCTCCCACAAATCATGGAGGCTGACGCTATCTCCCAACTCAAAGCGCTACTAAGCGCAGCCCCAAATCTTCGCTCTCAACTCAGCAATGCCGAACGTCTCCAGCTCAGCGGGTTAGCTGAAGCGCTCAGAAATGAATTGGAGAGACCAGATGAAGCCGTATTCAGGGTTACCTTCAATGACGTAAGTCGATGCGTCGTGCCGCTCCTTCCAGGTTCGCGGGGTTGTATCGTCCATGACTCGTGACTAGCACTAACAGTCAAGGTAACCAGCCTGGACATTATCTGGCTATACGATTAGGCATACAATGGGGAATCTTTGAAGCACTGGGCTGCCATGGTGATGAGGGCAAGTCGAGTGTGCAGCTTGCGGAGGGTACTGGGGCGGATGTGCGATTAGTTGGTAAGTAAGCCTTCATCGCGAACATGTTGGGAAGTTCTCCAATTTAGCCTTATCATTACTCTGAGGTGATACTGATCATGTCATTCCAGCTCGCTTTCTGCGTCACCTAGCAGCGAATGGCACAATCCGTGAAGTCGGTCTCGATACCTACGCAAGCACTCGACTCTCAGCTTCTTTGAGGCAAAAGTCTTTCAAAGATGCTATACATTTCATGTAAGTCCTTGAATAGGATCCAGATATGCAAAACTAGTATTGATGAGCCTAAATACTGATACCGCACCTGCAAAAGGTATGACGACTTCTACGACGTGGGCTGGAAAGTACCCTCATTCCTTGACTCGATATCTCATCGCAATCCCGCCGATGTCAACAACGGCCCCTTCCAACATGCACATGGTTTCTCTGATAAATCACTGTACACATACTTTGATGAAGACCCAGCGATGGGAGCGCGGTTCGGCGGTATGATCCAGATGTACAATGCTGGTAAGCCGTTCTTTTGGGAGAACGGTTATTACCCTTTCGATGAACGCTTGGTTACCGGAGGTCCTCAATCTGATGACGATGTGCTACTTGTGGACATTGGAGGCGGGGATGCCGGAGATTTAGGCCTGTTGCGGAAAGCACTGGGAAAAGAAGTAAAGGGTCGGCTTGTTCTGCAAGAGTTGAAACATATCGTTGATCGGACCGTGGAAGACGGGTTTGAAGCGGAGGTAGGCGATTGGAACCAAGTTCAGCCGATTAAAGGTACACTACCAGAATTATATCGTGCTGTTACCAATACTAAGATGTGACTTGTAGGAGCGAGAGCGTATATGCTTCAACACATCCTCCACGACTTTAGCAGCGACGATGCATGCCGTCGCATACTTCGCAACATCATTCCCGCTATGGAGCCCGGTTACTCTAAGCTCCTCATCAAAGACCTTCTCATACCCGATCGAAATGCACCATGGGCATTCACGGCTTTGGATGTCAATGTTATGCAATCACTTTCTGGTCAAGAGCGGACTGAGTCACAATTTCGCGAGCTACTTGATTCTGTGGGACTGAAAATTGAGGGCATCTGGGGTCACAAGAATGCGCTGGATGTTGTCATCGAAGCCTGCCTGCCCTAGGAGGAGAGTCTTACGCTGTTTACAGGACTTCCCATTCGTGATGACATGATTCCTCACTTGGTATAACATACTTCTCCCACCCCTCCTTCGTATCTGCCTCCTTCCACGTTTCCATATCACCCACTACACCATTCTCATCTACCTTCCAAATACCCCCTTCCACCATGCCCAGCCAGTTCTCAAGTACACACGCTAGACTCTGCGATTGGAAATCTTCAAGAGACTGTCTCCCACGCGAGTACAATTGTGTGAAGCTGTCGTTCCCATGCTGTCTGCAGTCCATAAATTTCTGCCCATCACTCCTCCTCGCATACTCGTTTCCCCCGATAGCAAAAGGCAAAACGAATGAGATCTGGTCTTCTAGATTTTGGTGGTCGTATTCAGTAGGCAACAGATACAAACCAGAAGGGTAGATTCTAACATCGCGATAGTCGTAAAAGTGTGGCATTCGAGCGTCAAGACCCGGGCTCCAGGTTGGATCTTCGAAGAAGTTGAGTTCAGATCGAAAGAGTAGGATGGGTGGTATTTCATCTTTGTCTTTAGACGTGTGCGAGCGAAAAGGTTGGTCGGGAAAGTCTGATGAGGTGATGACGCGGAGACCTGGGGCTATTTTCTTGAAACGCGGGCGGCGGGCACGAAAGAGGAAGTTGTATGCAAATCGTTGCGGTAGGCTTATAGTTTCGCGCACGTTGTTTTCGAGGAGGCCGCATATGGGCTGCGCGAAGATGCTTTCCATAGGCATGCGACTTTCTATCGCCTCAACGAGCTTGTCCCAAATCTCCAGGTTTCTTTTCATCATAACCTCGTTGTACGGAACGAAGATCCAATTCGAGGGATCCCGGCTTTCCCTTAGGGCAGGCCATTCTTCCCTGAGCTTGCCTCCTCTTTCTGGTGTGGCCTGAATACTTCCTTGGCGAATCTGGGAGAGCCAGAAGCTAAGGACGGTCTCTAGCGGATACCATTTCTGTTCATCCATACCGTCCATGTCATACAGGGTTAGAGCCAAGATGCACAAATTTGTTTTCTGGTCGTATCTAAATCTCGTAAGCTCGGCGTTCTGATATACTATCGACAGCATCAAGTTCACTTACATCAGTCCACAAGTATGTCCTGTCCCAAAGTGCCCCGCCTGGTACAAAACCAAACGCCTTCTTCTAATGTCCTTTCGCTTCTCACCTGTACGGGCTTCGTAGTCCCATGGCCATAGCAAGTCCTCGAATTCGAACATATAACCTGGTCCAGAGAGACCAGATACCCAGTGAAAGAATGATAGACATGTTTCACTCTCTTGTGCATATGGATCTTGGGCTTGCTCGAGGAATTGGATGAGCTCGACTGAGAGATCAGACCGTGCGGCTTCGGCTTTTTCCCCGTGTAATTGAAACCAGCTTTTGGATTGTGAGGTTAGTGTTTCTGGAGAGCGGCCTGAGCCGACCCAGCCATGCTGCACGATTTCGTTGTGGAGCTCGATGCAACGTTCGACGTTCATGACCTGATGAGTATTTACTGTCATAAAGAGCAAGAATAAGGTACCAAGGATGAATAGCACCGGATTTCTGGGTAAGCAAGAGACTATACGACTTGAGTTAAGTACGGCACTGCGCCGCAAGGCTACAGTGCATGGACGCAAACCTAGTCTGAAAGGGAACTAGTGGCCAAGACGGTCGACTTGGAAGCAAGGCCCAGAGGAAAGTAGCAATGATACGGAAAGACTCGAAGAAACGCACTGTGTACCACCAAACCAGTAAGTGGAAATGATATCCATGCCCTCTCGTTATGTTCCAGTACTCAAATAATTTGAGAAGGTACTTTTGCTTTGGGTCTCTCTCGAAGGGAGCATAGTTCGATAGTAAGACCAGTCCAGGAGTTACTCATCTCTTTTGCTCTCTAAGCACCCATATCTGCAGACTCTCTCTTACATGAATTCATCATGTTCAGTTGCTCCGCGATCACCACCGTGTAGCTGACGTCTCTCGTGCTCTAGGGTAGTCCGCCGTAGAAATAATCTTTCGCCACCAAAGCCTTTTCACGTCGTTGATCAAGTGACAGTAAAGATTCCTTGAAGAACCTGTCCCGAAAAGTGTCCAATCTGGTAATCCTAGAGATCCAGAGTTGCAGGTCTTCCTGATCGACTACAGACGCGTCACCCCAGTTCCGAACGACCAAGTGCTCCATTGCGGTGTCCAGCTTGCTGGTCATATTTGAGATTGCGAAGACGTAATCATACAAGGCCGGCGTAAGCTGTGGCTTCTCGGACGGCCGGGTGAAAGCGGCGAAGAGGCGCGCCATAGCATAGTTCTGGAATTCGGCCACTCTCAGCTCGTCTCCTAGAAGCCAAGCCAGTATTGCAGCCTTGACTGCCCAGTCCATAGTTTTGGGTTTTTGGCGATTGACATCCATCTTCAGATCCGGGACATCGTTGGCGAGGCCTAGCGAGACAACCGAGCCAGATAGTTCGGTGTACTCTCCCGTGTAAACCCACTGTACGAACAAGTCAAGCACATCAAGACAGTGCATCTTAGAAAGCCAGATCTCTGGTACAGGTTTGCCTTCGCCCGGGCATGTCGGCAAACTCCGATTGGAGATTGATCGCAGTAACTCATAGGGTATATAGCGAAAACCGGGACTGCTGTCACGAGGAGCCAGACGCACCTTAATCGCTCGAAGATCGCCAGCGCTGTCATAAGTGGTCAGTAAGTGCTTAGAGAGGATCCACGGCGCCACTCACAAAGCAACCAGATGCTCTCTCTGTGGACAAAGACTAAGCGCAGGCGATTCATCTGCTGGAGTCGACATCTCACAGTGAGTTTTCTTGTGTATTAAGCGCGTGTTCAACCCGGAATCTTGATCGACTGTAGATATGCAGAGAATGTATGAAGTGATTCAAGGATGGGAGGCTTTAAAACTATAGAGCATGCAGAGTCTTCTCACTCACTCGTTAGTCGGGATGTGCTTTGGCTCACTTTGTGAGCGCGATAAGTTCACCTCTTACCTCCTACCTTCACCTACACGAACGCCGAAGAGTGTCTGCTCAGATCTTAACCTGCAAGCAAAATCCGCATTCTACGTTCGGCGCACTTGTCGTCATTGCAACTAACGTTCGACGCCTGGCAGCTAAAGCGCACTTGATACGTGAAGAAGCCTTTGTTCGAGCGTCCAAAGTCAGTCGAAGGTGGGATTAGATACCTAATGTAATCTCTTCACTCGTCGTTAGAGACTGCTATGCCATCTCTCCTAAGAAATAGTTCCAGATATTGTGCGAGATTTACGCCATTGTGATAGCGGTTCTTGGTTTGCGCACGTGCAAAAAGGCAACAGAAAAATTCCTGATGAATGTACGCTGATAGCATTGTAGAGGCGTCGCGAGGCAGAACGGTCAGGACGCGCATCCGCCCCAAAACGCGCCAAGACCCCAGCACATGACCGCGCGCACCCTCCTACCCCATCCAAACTCACACGAATACAAACCTCATTTCCTCATCCCGAAATCAAATCTTACAAAAACAAGCTTCTCTCAACAGTCGCATCACCGTCGTAATCAATCAATCCAGCTATCGTTTCAAGCCCAGCCTCACCACCGAAAGAGTCGGTATCCCAGCCACGCCAGCCTGTCCAGCCCCTCCCACCATGGACGCGACCCAACCACCTTGCTGGCGCACGCACCCCGCCACGTCTGTACAAAAGTTGCTGCATGCCACTTGCAGTAGACCCTACTACTTGGCCTGCAGATTTCTTCGCTGATATTATTAAACCAACTATCTCTCATCTCACATCTCAAACTCAACGCTTTACCATACGATTCTTCGTTGTTGTCGTTGTTGTTGTTCCAGTCTACCACCACCATCCTTGACATTGGCTCGCTTCCGGGATATCACTTACGACACCACTACTAAAGGGTTGCTTGGACGATAGCTAAGCTTGGACCGACCGACACCACTGCGTTATACAACATTCACCTGTTTGCGCTGAAGATACAGTGCGCATACAATTGTTCATCCTCAACTCTTGACATTTGACTGACTTTTGAAACAGAAACATCTTGAGCACTATCGCATCGCATCACACCGCCGCAACTACTCTTCACCAACCACTACTCCGACTACCATCTACGAGACCCCCTCGTAGCCACCACAACAAACCGCAATCATGCAGCGCAACATTGTCATCTTCCTCATCATCCTTATCCTTTTCATCCTCATCGCTGCTATCGCCTACCTGATCTACTACCTGCAAACCCGCATGGCCGTCGGCGGAACCGCATCGTCTGTCTCTGACATGACAGAGAACGCGTAGACGACGCCACTACAACAAAACACCATGATACAACAAGAAGGATAAGAAAAGAGACATTTAACGACGATACGAAGATAGTATAACATATGGGACGATCTCGGATTTAGAGATTGAACACTGCATGGCATTGGCGTTCTTGGGGTTGCATGGATATGCAACCTTCAACAGGAGTTTGGGATTCATTGGGCAAGAAAAGTGATAAAACACTTGAGAAGTTGAAACGAGGATAATGCAATTGAAGCAGCCATGTTGGTTGGGACTGGGCTTTTGGATACCCGCAACGTTATTACGTTACTTATATATGTATATATGTTCGCGCATGCATGGAATTGAACGACATAACTATTGAACACACTTTCAACTATGTTCCGCAATGTGACTTTGATTATAGGCCTGTTGTTTAGTCTGTGGACCTGGGAACAGAATCGTATTTCGTCTTAGCTAAGGAGAAGTATACTCGAATGTCCTGTATTATTTCAGAAGTGTTGTTAACATTCTAATCTTATTTGGAGACAAGCATATCAAGTATCCACAAATGGCACGATGCGCCCGCAACAACATTCTCACGAACAGGGATATATCGTCTGTCACACACTAAGTGGTCACACTTAGTGTCTTATGTATAGTTTTGTGACCTCTGATGGTAATGGATAGAAAGCAAAAAGTTCGAATCGCTTCGAAGAACCATTGGAACTCCTTGTTGTCCTTTCCAAAAGAACTCGAACCTAACCAAAGAAGTCCCTTATGGTACAGTTAACGCCTATACACCATACTCGCTTAAATGGAATCAAAGTCTTTGTGAGAGACTCTAGACGCACTGGTGAAACTTTGTGGGGCGGAGGTGTAACGGACAAAGATGAGGATCCTCCGCTTGTGGTATCAACGGAGACGCGGTGGGCAATTTGAGCAACGTCGGCTTTACGACGGGTGAGTCTTCAGGTAATTGAAGACGAGAAATGCTCCGGAGGCGTCAACGGAGACACCGTGGGTGATTTAAAACACAGCGGAGACAGCGAAAAGGGAGGCGTTACTGGAGAGAATAGTCGTAGCGGGAGCATGTTCTCGATTGACATGGCGGGCGCGAAGTCCGTTCGAACTTTACTGGTAAGCACCATTTTTGATGGCGAATTCGGTTGCGTATACTATTCGACTTGAAGTGAATTAGTGGCCTGTCATTACGGCGTCGTTATTGTCATCACCATTTTCGCATTTTAGAGGCTGGTCGCTGGTTTCGGAAAAGACTAGGTGACTCTCATAGTATGCCAGCATCTGCAACGCATTAATAGCAGTACAATTTCGATAGTCATGGCAACGCACCTTTTGCGGACACTTTTGGTAGACGTGTTTGAGAGGATGTTGTGTCTTTTGATTATTGTTCCACACGAGGTATGCGAACTTTTCGAGTTCGCCTGTCTTGGGGTTCTTCGTCTGCTCCACTGTGTCGATCTCGTGGACGTCGTGTTCCCACGAGCCTGGTGGTGGACTCCATTGTGCCACTTTCTTCTCCTCCTTGTCTGCCTTCGCGCGCTTGGTGCTAGACGCAAGAGTCTCCGACTCTGATTTCCTTCCCGCAAGCGACGGTCGGCCCTTGCGCTTTTGGCCCTTGGGCTCTGGACGGCCTCCGATACTCTTGAAGTACTCGTTCAGTACGTCGATAGCTCCCTCCATGTTTTCCTCTGACTCCCATGTCCGGTCTTTGGGGTCGTCGTAGCCTTCCCATTTGACGTCGAATTGGAGAACGCCCTACCACTGTGAGTGTTTGCGTGTGGTGAGGTAGGTGTCTGTACACACTCTTTGGAATCTGTGGTTGAAGATGGCTTCAACGACATATCTGGCGCATTGTTAATGCGGTGTGATCCCTGGGTATATGAATATGCGCATACTCGTCTTCTCCCACCTCACTGTCGTCCTCCTCATCTTCTACAGGATCGACTTGTACTGGTTGTCTTCCTTTTCCCTTTGTGGTCGCTTGCGCGGGGACTTCTTCGCTGTCCGAGGACTCGTGATCGCTGAGAGCAGCTATGCAAGTTAGCTACCGTATACTAAGTACATTACGCGTAGGGTGAAAGCGCGAGAAGGCGGGCGCGACTCACGAGGCATCTTGAATCGCGGTCGCTAATGATGGCGCACAGAGATGTGGGATGGGCTGAACTTTTTATAGCATGAGGCGATTCGGATAAGCGCAATTGTTTGTGCGCGATACGTGACCAGTGATTGTGGTGGCAGCTTGGGGCAGCAAGCGTCAGGGCAATTCGCAGGGTTGGAGCTGGCGACGGAAGGCGCGTTCGCGACTCGCGGCCGTGCACAGGAATGCCAAGCCCCTCTGGGGAAATTTCGAGACTGACATGGCAGCTGTTTAGATATACCCCACCACCCCTCACTACTAAACATACCCAGGATTCCCTCCTAGTGTGTATCTGTAGTTTGAAGAGTCTCCGGAATCGTGTGTTTGCTTCTTCAGCGGGCATTTCTCCAACCATGGCGATGCGTAAGTTATACAGGCTGCAACAGCTTCATTATCTCCGAAACTTCACAAAGATGAAGAGAATGCTAACTTGTTAAATTGCAGAGGTCGACCTTTCCAACGGTATGCTTCCGAATCTACCACGAAATTATTACGAATCATCCACGAATGACGACTGACAAATCGGCTTGTAGCGCAGGTGATGAAGGATGAAGCGGGCAGGCCGTTTATCATTGTCAGAGAGTATGTGGGCTGCTGGGAATAGGCTTTGAGATTCCGTCCGAGAAATCAGCAGCTAATTCCGGGACAGTCAAGGCAAGAAGTCGAGGCAACACGGCAACGATGCGGTCAAGTCCCACATTCTGGCGGCCAAGACCGTCGCGAACCTTGTCAAGAGCTCTCTGGTATGCAGAATTGTTGGACTCGAGAAATTTAGAGCACTGGCTCACAACATCTAGGGACCGCGAGGACTGGACAAGATCTTGATTTCGCCCGATGGAGATATTACGGTCACAAACGACGGCGCTACCATTCTATCCCAGATGGAAATTTCCAACCACGTCGCGAAGCTGCTAGTCGAACTATCCAAATCACAAGACGACGAGATTGGCGACGGAACCACTGGTGTCGTAGTTTTGGCGGGCGCACTCCTCGAACAGGCAGCGGACCTCATCGACAAGGGTATCCACCCCATCAGGATAGCAGACGGTTACGACCAGGCTTGCGAGGTTGCTGTGGCCAAGCTGGACGAGGTCAGCGACGAGATCAACTTCTCCAAGGACAACACGGAAGAGCTGTTCAGGGTTGCAAAGACAAGTTTGGGCAGTAAGATCGTCTCCAAGGCGCACGACCAGTTTGCCAACATCGCCGTAGATGCTGTGCTTTCGGTCGCCGATCTGGAGCGGAAAGATGTCGATTTCGAACTCATCAAGGTTGATGGCAAGGTCGGTGGATCGCTCGAGGACACATTACTTGTAAAGGGTGTCATAATAGACAAGGACTTTTCGCATCCGCAGATGCCGTCAGAGGTCAAGGACGCCAAACTCGCCATCCTCACATGCGCATTCGAGCCACCGAAGCCCAAGACCAAGCACAAGTTGGACATTACCAGCGTGGAGGAGTTCAAGAAGCTACAAAACTACGAGTCAAACAAGTTCACTGAGATGATTGAGCAGATCAAGGAGACTGGCGCCAATGTAGTAATATGCCAATGGGGTTTTGACGACGAGGCCAACCACCTTCTTCTCACAAACAAGCTGCCCGCTGTACGGTGGGTAGGAGGCCCAGAGATTGAGCTGATCGCCATTGCGACCAACGGACGCATCGTACCGCGTTTCGAAGACCTCAGCGCGGAGAAACTGGGAAGCGCAGGCATCGTTCGGGAACTGACGTTCGGAACTACACGAGACAAGATGCTGGTCATCGAGGAGTGTGCGAATACACGAGCTGTCACAGTCTTTGTTCGAGGCAGCAACAAGATGATCATCGACGAGGCCAAGCGATCGCTACACGATGCCCTCTGTGTCGTCCGAAACTTGGTAAGAGACAACCGTATCGTATACGGCGGAGGTGCCGCGGAAGTAGCTTGCTCGCTCGCAGTCGAAGATGCGGCAGTCAAGGTAAGCACTATCGAACGCGAATGCGGGACGGCGACTTACATTTTACAGAGCCCCGGTATTGAGCAATACGCGATGCGCGCCTTTGCTGATGCCCTTGACGCAGTACCCATGGCCCTGGCTGAGAACTCCGGTCTCAGCCCCATCGAAACCCTCGCTAACATCAAGTCCCGACAAGCCAAGGAGAAGAACTTCAGGTTGGGCGTCGACTGCATGCAGACGGGAAGTAACGGTAAGTGCCCTTCTCGTTCGTTGTTATCCAACAATCTTCCCCACGTCTCTTTGTATCATTCCCACTTGCCTCACCGCTATCAAGCATAGCTGCATTACGGACTATTCCCGGGAGACCCGAGACCCATGTTGCATACAACTTGCCGCATCCAACGCCCCCGTGGGGTGGGGTGTGTCCCCCCACGCGGCGCTACTTGCTGCGCTGGCACGAACGCAACTACAAGTGGAGATGAGCAGGAGTCATCTGAGACCTTCGCTATGCTGTCATTGTTATGCACAACGTCATGGGCCACATTGGTGGCTGATTTATCGAAGATCGTGCTAACGTGGCGTTATTCGCAGACATGAAGGAACACTTTGTGATCGATCCCTTGATCTCGAAGAGGCAACAACTGTTGCTCGCTACACAGCTGTGCCGTATGGTCCTCAAGGTATGTACCGTAACTTTCCCCCTTGTTTCGTAACATATCGTCGCTTGTTGCACCGCACGCTACTTGGTGTTACTCCCTTTCCCGCCATCCCTTCCGCATTTCCCTCCCGTTTGTGCTACCTCGCTCGACTTCCTCCCTTGCATTCTTTCTCTGGATCGAAGGCACGGACGGGGAAGCGAGGAGGCGAGACCAAAGAAACACGGGTCTTTGTGTGCGGGTTTGCATTGTTCGTTACACACCATCACTTTGTGTTACGCCGATTATCTTGACCGCCTGTATTGCTTGCGAGTAAAGCTAATAACGCCGCACAGATCAACAATGTGATCATCGCTGGAAACGACGACCAGGATTTCTAGACGCCATCACGCCGTACCTGTCATACCGATTGGTATGTGCCTGAGCGATGGGCGCAAGTAGCAAACGAAGCGCAAGGGCATGTTGGATGGCAACGTAAAGAAACCATGTCTAAGGCGTTAATACCCATAGACTATCCAAAGTAAAATCAATACAAGCATCCCGATGCCATGATGTGCCTTGAATAGCATAGAGTCCTGTTGAGAACATGTCACCGCGGCATAAGAAAGCCATCACCACATGTTTGCAGCGGAATGCTCCTTCGTGACATGAAATGAATCCTTCGTTCCTACGATCAGAAGGGTTTCCGTAGGCAAATCGCAGATTCTTCTTCCCACGATGCGAACACATTCCACATGTATGCATCTGCATATCCGTTTGTATGTTAAACATACCCTCCAATCGCCATTTAACAATGCGTCGTTCAGTACTCGACGGAATTGCTCAAATCAGCGTCCACTCCTGCACTCTTTTGCATCAGAATGCTGTCATTTGTCAACTCTGCGTTCAACTTCCAGATTGCCTGCCACAGTGTGGCCATTCACAAACTCAGCTAAATATTGAAGTCGATTTTGGACTCAGCGAGCAATGGGAAGACGAATTGTAGTAGCCCATCCATGATTGTCATGACCTAGCCTTCAGCTTATCCAAGACTTGAGAATATTCTACTCCACAGCAACAACAATGCAGACTGGCGAACCTTCCTCTCAGATCCAAGAAATTGTTTTTGTCAAACACATGAAATCTACGAACAGAAACGAGACATCGGACACAGTGTGTTGACTTCCCCAACAACTGACAGCGTTTTTCTTTTGCAGATACATCTAGACACCGTCACGTTCATGCTTTATCAGACAGGATTACGCCAAGAACAGTGGTTGACTTCAACGAAGTTACCGCTAAACTTGAGGCAGGTTTTCCATTGAGATTTTTGTACGTTTCAAACTTTCTCTTTACTTCAAAAAACAGTCATGTTGTCTCAAGAGGTCGGTTACGACTATACCGCACTATCTCATCGCTCATGCTCGCTTCGAATCTTAGCGACCCGGTAAATCTCCTCAGTAGCGCAAACTCTCTCACAGTGAGGAGCAAGCGGTGGTTGTTTCTTGCGGTAATATCCGTCATGCATGTAAGAACACGAGAGGAGGGCTGAGCTAGCTGCTGCAGGGGGCGTTGACTAATAGGTTGTGTTGGTGTTGTTGAGACGATAGAAGGCTCGGGATGTGGAGGGAGATCTTGGCCTCAGCTGAAGGACGGGTGAGAGTGTTGTTGGCAATATTGGCGGGTAGGTAGTGGATGATACTGTGCCATGTTCTGCTTCCGCGTAGGAAGAATGTAGATCCCGTGTCCATCACATGTTGTCTCGTCGTAGGTTGCGAAGTTAGCTTCACCACCCACCACTTATGCTCGAAGACCAGGTGATGTCTCAAGCACTTGAAACAAACCACAATTTCAAACTTTTCTGTTTTCAGAACGATTGCTTCTCTCTTTCTCTGAAACCACGTCATTTTTCTTGATTCAGCCTATAACAAACCGCGACTATGCCTGTGCTTAGCTGCATGGAGAATATGCTGTACGTATATTTACGCGATCGCCCTGGGATTCAGGCACGCGCCCAAGTCCCATAAACACCCAGGATCTGGGTCTAATCTACCCCTACACGAAGGATCGAGGATCGATGTTAACGCAAAGCCGCGTACCGGAAGCGCGTGACGAGAATATCCCTGGACAAGGGGTATTGTATCGATATTGAAAACGCGCATGAACATAACAATAGCAACATAGGTGATATAGCTATGCGCACCAACGTTAAGGCAAACGTAACATACAAGGGCCGAATATGCGCAACCACGGCACAGAAACGAAGCAAGAATAATGGTGGTTATGATGGTGTTCCACGTGAGAATATTTGGAAACGTGGCCACGGACATATGGAGAGTCAACTGTGGCAGGTGACAGATTTTACCTGACTGCGCCCGAGATGTCAGCCTGTTCGAGAGGCTGTGGCGAAGATCTGGGGCTGATATGCGGGGAGTGGAGATGGGGTCTCCGGCTTGGCTGAAGGATGATAGTGACGACGATGCTGACTCGAGCGGAAGAACGTTTCGCTCGTCTGACTTTTGTCTCCGTGCTGTACGACGCGACAGAGTCATCTGCCGCAGTAAGCGTAGCCTGAGCTCTCGCTCGCTAAATGCAAGGCGATAATATCATCTTCCGCTCCGTCCCTTCCCTTCCCTTCCCTCACCGTTAGCCAACCAGCCGATTGCCGTCTACCGTCTGACATCAGCATCATATCTCGCTGTGAGTCCCATATTCCGAGACTCGTCACGAGATAAGCGGCAGCGTGGGAGGAAGCCTAGCATGTGATATTTCAAGGGCTATAACGTCGAATCAACATAACAAACGCACATCAAGATATGATACCGCGATACGAAACGAAGGCATGCAAGCACCGGTGAAAGCAGGGCATGCAGGACCACGCGACGACGTTTGTCTGGGGTAAATCGCGGGACGCATATACGGAGTTTACGGAACAGAACAGAAAAGGAAGGCATCGACCGAGGGAGTGCTCAATGATGACAAGAACTACTTGTCTTGAGCTTTTCATAGGCATAGGCATAAAACTGATGACAAGTAGTGGGACAACGCTGACGGATCTTTCCAGGACGTGGGATTCAACATCGCGTTTGATTAAGGTTGCGTTGTTGGTGGTGCTACAGCAGGCAAACTGCGTGATCGAAATCGCACTTCTGGTGCGACAGACCGCCAAAGGCACGCACGGGGGAGTTGATCGAAAGCTTGGAGCCGAAAGTCTCGCTTGCGTCTATTACCTAGTTGGAAAGTGATGGTGGCTGGAAACGTTGTAAGAAAAGCGGGCGACTTGATAGGCTGGGTAATTGGAATTTATCCATAAATTATAACCCAGCAGCAACCACGGGAGAGGAAACCATGCCACTCGGACCGAGAACGACCGTTGCATTTAGGTTCCTGCCGATGGTCTTGGTCGGACTCGGGCCGTGTGATAAAGTACTTTGGATGTACATGTGATTGTGTGATGAGTTGTCGGGCGTAATCCATGGGTTGTGCTGAGATGATACGGCAGTTGCGTTGTTAGGCTTGAATTGGTTACTTGTATATCCAAGTGTTACACGAAGATATTCGTGTGTGCGATGGTATCATGATCTTCATAAGCTACGTGCTTGAAGGTTGGTATCATAATCCAGAACCTGTTCCATTTCTGGCGGTGAGCGGCAGGCCGTAATTCCGTTGTGACGCTGCAGTGCTCCAGATATACTCGTACAACCATAAAGTGAGACCTTGAGATCGAGATTGGAACCTGGGATCAGCCTTTGTGTCCCGACAATACGGTCAAAGGCCCTAGCTGGCTGGGTGGAATAATATTTAATCTGGGAGCGGGTACATCAGCGCAGGCTGACCACACCTCGAGCTCAAAGTAGATCCTGCACTGTAAGCGCGGTCGGTAGGACGAGATAAATGAAGACGTGCAGATGACGGTCAGCACGCAGTGCTACCGAACCAGACTTGGAACTGGGAACCACAAGCCCGGGACGGGTGAAAGAGCCTCGACAACAGCCTCTTTCTGCCGAAGATTGCAACTGCCATGTTCGGGACGTTATTTTGGAAATTTTCAAGACGCTCTGTAAGCTAACACTCAAGGTATAAACCGGTTGTACAAGAGTAAGGAAGGGTTACCACAGAGGGTAAGCTGCGGGCTGAAGGAGTTGCAACCTGGATTGCAATCCCTATGGCGTCTCCAGACTTTGTTCACGGCTCGACCGATACGCTAACTTAGGTGGGAGTCGGAAAGAGGACTCATGCAGGGTGTAGCCCCAATGCAGAAGGTCGAACAAGATAGCCGTTAGCGAAAGAAGCTGTCACAATCCTACGGGAAAACATCGCAAATCGACGACTATCCATTCGCCCGTTACAAAAAAGATTGCTAAGATATCAGACGTGCATTTGCTTTTGCAGAGTATCACCCCCATCATTGGTTTCAGGTACGGTCTCATGAGCAATAAGCCGGCCCGTTTGTCGCTCCAGAATCTTGCGACGGGAAAAGGGCATTCGATTTGGATAAGCTATGATAAGCATGCACACGTGGGAGGTGTATACACCACACGGCGTTCGCCAAGCAGGGGGCGTGGCCATGTGAACTTGATGTCGACCGGGGTAATGAGCCTGGAAGACTGTCGTTGGTCTCTCTGAATCTTCGCTCCGAAGTGCGGGATACTAGGTCGACTTTGCACCGAAGTCTAACAGATGAATGACTTTGCTTGTGATCTTCGGCGGGAATACCGGAGCCTGAGTCCGTTTGATGTTGCGTTGCCATCGGTGACCGGCGAGACGTCCGGATATCCTCTGGTTGGTTATCAGTGCGGAGGTGGACGATGCGACGTCCTCGTGCTTGCACGCGTGGGATGCCTGCGCGTCGGGCCCCACCGCCAGGCACTGGGGAACGTGTTGCTGCTTTGGGCACCCACGACACCTCGTTCAGGCAATCGACGATACTGAAAACGCGCCAGAATGAAGACCCGACTCACTGGAAATGAGGATTAATTTCTCCAATGTTATTTGTTGGGCGCAACGTCCGCTCCGCAGGGCCGCACAAGGCCCATACGATTCGTGCAAAATCCCTCATGTCGATTCGTGCAAGAGAGCGGAAACCAGCATTAAGTTCCCCCCGTACGCTAGAGATGTGATAGAAGCGACAGGACAGGCAAATCTTCCTATCCCTTCTGACAGTGAGGTTTCAGTAAGATTCCGTGGCATCGCACTGGCCGCCGACGCCTCGGCTAATCATTGCAACGAGCAGCACATGTGAGCGTGAGCACGTTGTTGCGGTTGATTGGACAAAAAGACCTAGAGAACCGCCGCCCACTACTGTGGGACGTGAGTAGGAGGATGCGCGATCCAGGGGGTATCAAGAAAGTGCGGAGACAGTGAGTGCGCGACACGGAGCATGATCACAACATAGGACGGAACACTGAGCGCAATGCTATTAAGGCCAACCGACGCAACAGCCGGTGGTTGCAAGCCAGACGATTGGTGCTCCGTGGTGACAGCCACGCGACGCCAGCGGGCAGCGGGTGCACGCCCCGGACCCGATATGGCTAGTCTAGGCGTGGTATCCAGGCTGTCGGGCTTCCATCTCCAGTGTCCGGTAGAGTGGCACTGTCAAGCCTCCATGATGACTGCAGTAATGTTCTTTGTATACTCAGTGTAGGTAGTGTGGGTTGTATGCGAGATCGATATGTGCAGCGCGTGTCGGCTATTTCTGGGGCTTTTTGCAGTGCGGAAGAGCCGTATGTCGAAGAGACAGACAGAATGTACCGAGATCGTTTGCCGTTCAGCATGTGACGAGTAATCAAACAGCGATCGATTGTCCGGCACTTGTCAAAATCACGGATGGCAGACTGGTGGCTCCTCCAGGCACAGATACGAGGGCTCATCTCAGCAGGTGGCTGACGGAGACGATCGTTTCTATTTTGCTCGTAAATGTAAAAGAGTAATAGATGGGTAGACGTGTCGGAACGGGCAGTGTTAAAGCCCAACAGCATGTGTTTTGCGCTCCGACCTTTGCTCGCATACCGATTAATTGTGTGCCACAGTTGCCATATGCGCTTCCGTGCTTGCTGTAGGGAGAAAAGCAAGGGGTGAAATCGATACCCAGGCTGCTTGGCAGGCGTCACTGCTTGCACTGTCGTGATCTGGGGTACAGTTGTCGTCTGCTCATGACCAAGGTAGTTGGACTTTAGGTCATGATACTGCATGCATGCAGTCTCGGAGCAACGAAAGGTGGTTGCGACTAATGCGAACATCGATTACACATTTGGTCGATCGCATAGTCGTACCAGATTTGAGCGCGGTGAATCCCATCGCGATGAGCGGATGGAGGTAGAGCCTAATGGTAGTTGACGATTGTATGGAGATCATGAGAAAAAGCACGCGACGATGGTGAAGGGCCCACGGTCCGGGGAACTAGCGTTCAGCTCTACGCCATATCACGAGCGAACGACTTGGAGGGAGCGTGGCCCCGTACTTCCCCCCACTGACGTTTGTTCTTTGGACCAAAAAGCGCTGTGCATATGTAATGTGCAATCGATGCATCGTGAACCTAGTGTGGCTTACAGGAGCGGCAACCGGTTGGCTAAGGCAGAGCGACAGGCACTCGACGGTCCAGTGCCACGTAGAGTTGTAGCTGCCGGTGTACAACTCATGAAACAGACATCACGCCGCATTCAGCGATAACGTGCGGTCGCACATGATGCTTTTGCGGCTTGGTGATTCGGCAGCCGCCCCAGATGACCTCGAGAGATTGCCGTGTACTGGACTGACGTAGCAGAGCAGCCAACTTGGTAGTTACTGGAGGACAAGTGGGCGCACAGTGCACCTTAGCACAGGGTACCTGTCGCTACCCCAAACTCTAGAGCGGATTATCTGGGGTAGTTGGCATGTCTCAAAGGTGTCGAGGACAGCACTTTAACCAGGTGGCCACCGGGCTTGTACCGCGTGGTCTGGCATCCTTGCGAATAACCAACGCATCTAGGAACCTAGCGAACAATGGCTTGCGGATTCACATAACCAGTGCAGCGTTGGTGGTAGGCGGTAAAATTCGCAACCGCAGAGACAAAGGCGGAGTTGTCCACACCGAAAGCAGCCATGTCACCAGAACTTGCAGAGGCTGTTCTTGACCGCCACGGAAGAATTGAAAGGATCCCGTGTTGCCGAACCCCAGTGCGGGGGATTTGCGCAGACAGTACGTATGACAAAATGACGGAAGCAGAAAGCGGAAAACAAGGCTGTCGCGGAGGGAAAGTACTTTCTGTTCTCGACGGTGCTAAACTGCTCGTGAGGCTGTCTAGCTGGTGTGGACAGTCGGATTGACTCAGGGTCCAAGAGGCACAGCCATGGCGACGAGGGCAGGCACATGCGCAGCTGGAGGGCCAGAATCGTGCAGGGGTAGGGTGTCGGAAGAGGCGAGTTAGGGAAAAGAAGCGCCAGCGGAAGTTTTCAGCTGCTTCCGCGAACGCTAGAGGGGATTGGGCAAGCATCGTCACATGGCGTGCATAGCTTTTCGAAACGGCTGAGTTAGCGGTATTGTATTACGGCGGCGTAACTTTCTGTCTGCAGTGCTTCCAAGGTTCGCAGGCAGGTGACTGTTAATCAAGTCTGGTGCACCGGATCCGCCAGCAGCAACAATGCAGCGCAACCAGTCAGCCAGAGGGGGGCAGACCAAGGAAGGCATCAACTGCGGCGCCGAAGCGTGGTCGTCAGGTCAGCATAGCATTGCCCCGATGGCCTCGATGTCAGTGGCATGAATCTTGAGACAGGCGGAACAGAGACAGCGAGTCAGGGCAGCAGTGTTCTGGAAGTACCAGGAGGATTGCAGGGGGGCACGGCCGTGCTGTTGGATCATGTGCGTCCCCACGCCCAGGCCATTCACCACGCGGGCGGCGACGTAGGGGAGGCTGCGGTGGCAACGAGGCGCTCGATGCGACAAGTTGTAGCCGGCGGTGGTGGAGTGGACAGCAAAAGGTGGGCTTGATATGGGGGAATGACGAGGGGGACTCAGGCCACGAGCGTCGCAGAGACTGACTGCTCGGATCCATGGTAGACTCTGGACTTACTGTTAAGATCGGGCAAAGAGCGGTAGAATGGCCGCAACATGGATCATGGCTCGACGAAATTCAAATGAGCCGGAACTGCCCCGGGGGTTGTGTCTAGGGCTAGGAGGTAGCAGGGATCAGGAAGGTGCAGGGGGTGAGCCCTAGTGTGGGTGCCCATCGCGCCTTCCATGTCGGCCCAGAGCCCACCCCTGTCATGCTGGCGCACACCAGTAGAGCGGGCTTTGGCTTTATACATACCAGACTCCACTCCCACCTACATGCTCTCTGTATCCTACCCTACCCGCTTGACGACCACGTCCACAACCGCCGCTCTCTTGGAACCACACATAGCCCCATATCCACATACACGTATACACACTGTCTATCCATGTATCTGTCAGTGCTGTAGCATCGCCGGCATTCCCTCTGCTCGGCAACTGTCTCTCCATTGACGCAATCGGAACCTCACTGTCTCTGACGCAAGCGGAGCCACCGTTATCGATATCACCCCCCAGCCCTCGACACACAAGATCCAAAATGCCTCTCCGCGCAGAACGGCCCATAGTGCGCGTCGAGCACAGCTCCATGCGCACCATCGAAACCCGCAGCACCGAGAACCTGTTCGGCCTCTGGTCTGGTGAGTGATATGCACGAGCATGTGCAGTGCACATGCAGCGGCATGTGAATGGCCACTAACTCGGCCTGACAGTCTTTGCACGATGCTCGCCCGCCATGGAAGACGGCAAACGCTACGAGAACATGGCCTGGCGGCTGTGGTCCCGTGAGACCTTCTGCTGCCAGCCCGACCCTGTGGCTGCTCCCCAGTGGGCCTTCCAGCGACAATTGTCCGCTAGTGCTACGGACATGCCCGAGCTGTCTACCAGCGTCGCCTCCGACGACTCCAACCTGGAGAGCGCCATCACCACGACTTCCCGAAGTGATCTCTCGGCCGACCGCCCCGACCTGCGCCGCCACGACTCCGCTACCAGCCAGGCCCGCGGCAAGCACATGACCCCCATTGGCCTCGAGAAGGTCGTCAACTCGATACAAGAGAAGAAGTTCATCGAGCCGCTGTCGCCCCTACCAGCCCAGCTCGCCCCACCTGTAGCCGAGCAGAAGCCCGTTCAGGACAACACCACGCTACCATCCACCGCCCGCCCCATCCCCGAAGCCTCCACTTCCACCGTAGCCACCTCGGTCAGCTGCGACATCATGAGCCCTGCAGTCGGCTCCGAAGCCAGCACATCCACCGACGTGAGCGAGCACAGCGTCGTCCGCGGCTTCGAGCCCGGCCACATCTCCACCTCAGTGCGATCCAGCACCAACCTGAACCCTACCCCCATCCTCAAGAAGACCTCCAGCTTCGTTACCAAGCCGCTTCCCGCAAAGGCCGACGCCAGCAAGAAGAGGCAGCCCATGTTCACTCTCGGCGGATCCTCCGAGGAGGAGAACGGCAGCTCCTTCGAGGCTTACTCGCTCCAACGCAGCTCTCTCTCACAGCAGCTGCGCAACGCTGCTCCCATGCGCAAGACTACCTCCTTCAAGAACGAGGTCAGCACGCGCACTTTCCACGACGTCTCCGAGAGCAGTGAGGCGGCCATTGAGAGCGACAGCGAAGACGACGATGTCGACGAGAGCGCCATTGAAGAGGAAGACTCCGATGAGGAGTGGGAAGACGACGACAACGAGGAGAGCGGTCCCCCCAGCGTTGCTGAGCACCGTCCTCAGTTCCCGCGTGTTGACTCGCAGGCCAACCTCACCTCCCGCCGCTCGCTTCTCACTACTGCCCTCCACCAAGGTGACCGCGCATCAGCTCTGCAAAATGCTGCATCGCGATCATCACCTGCCATCCGAAGGTCACGCACCCATACACCAAACGGACCTTCCGCTGGCAGCTCACCTCACGAAGACAGTGGCTTGATGATGCGCGAGCAAGCCTCCCGCCCAAAGCCTATCATCATGACTACCTCAAACGTCCACCCACCTGCCATGTCCCCCAAGACTACGCGCAGGAACATGCTGACCAGTGAGCTCACTGGATCACTAAGGCAAAACCTGCTGTGGGAGAGGCAGCAAAAGAATGCCACCACTAACGCGGTAGCAAAGCGCCAACAGAGCGCAGTCAACCTTCCAGCCCTCCGTCGGGCCATGACCACCGGCGACGTCAAGGGTCTAAACACCAACGAGCAACAAGCTCAAATTAGATCCACCACTTTCCGGGACGACAACAAGCCCGACAGCTCATACAACCAATTCTTTGATGGCGGAGACGCCCAAGAATACCACCGCTCCGGTTGGTAGCACAACAACATCCTTTTTTTTTACATTTGCACTTCTAGCGGCATCTATGGTTTGGCATTTGACCAACGGCGTTTTGTCTTTCTTCACTTTAGCGGCCATCCAGTCTCCAAATGCACTGGTCAGCCGATTCATGGGTTATGTTCCTCCCAAAATCTTCTGATACCACCAGGGCCATTGAGTAGGCCCGATGAGGCTACGAATTTCTTTCATGCAGTCATACCGGACAAAGGGTGCTTCTTGTTTTGAAGATGGGTTACGGCTCACGCCTACTTTGGTCTGTACTATCACCTGCACATGTACTTGTATCGGGCTCTTTGTCCGACCCATTATACCCCGGCATGGGAACGGCTCCGCGGAGCTGTTTGGACCATGGCATCACCTTTGCTTGGAAGATAGCAGGTGTTGGCCTAGATACCTTAATGATAAAAAGCGGATACTTCATCATCTGAGACTTCTACAAACTGCTTGTTGTGATTGTGCGCTAGGCCGAGGTAGTTTCAAGGCCTCATCGACTGACTCTAGCTGTCAGCTGTTCCGGGGTTCGAAGGTCCCAACAAGACGCATGTTCTTACCGCTCTTCTGAACCATCCCACCGAAGCTAGTTACAAAGGAGGCGCTTATGCACGCTTTGCTGTGGCCTTCATGCAGTGCCGGATCGCACCACCACCATAATAACATCTGCCGCGCCTACAGGGCACGTTGTCCGTGTCACGATGGCGATCAGCCTGCGACATGTTTATTGATGATACAGCGAAACCTGGATCTGCTCGTCGCTCGTCACAGCCCAAAGTCAAATTGACAATGTCGCGGCTATTGCCTGCGCCGCGTTCCTCTTCCCTCGGCCCGGCTTCCTGTCTACCGTCCTGAATGATGCGTGCCTGACATGTGCTGCTGTGCCGCTGCTCATCACAAGGAGATCACCAAGGGCATGCGGTACCCGAGGGAGCTCCCTCGTGAGAGACGACCCTTGCACAATATACTCCTGGATGTGGGCAACGTGCATCGTGGCGAGCACACCCAAAGTTCCGTCGTGCGTCGTGCGTCGTGGGATCTGCTGGCGAGACTCGACGGCTGCACTGCTGCAGACGCCGCTCAGCCTTATGACTCGAGCTGCGAACTCAACACCACACACACTCTACCACGCCATGCAGTCTCGACGCTCGATGTTTCAGCATTAGAGTCTACGACTCAAGAAGTGAAGCTTTACTTAGACACTGATAACACTGACGACCATGGGACGCCACTACGTCATGCTGGCGGATAGCTGAAGTTACAGCAGTTCCCCGCCCACCGTTCTGCTCAAGGCATCCTCGCCCCTCGCTGCTCATTTGCATCTGCATCAGCATCACTCAACCAGCAACCACCATGCAAGCCTCGCCAGTTGACTATGGGGCAGTGGTCTCGCCAATCGTCCTCCATTCGTCGCGCAGGAATCATTACACCGGATTGCGCGGGCTCAACCCAGCGCGGCCCCAGTCGCCTCTCGCATTGTTGACGCTCACTATTACCACCGTTTTTCAAAGTCCTCTGATCATCCGGATGCTCTAAAAACAACATCATCCCTGGAACGGCGGAAGGCGACGCTCTATCAGGCACCCGCAGCGCTACCCCGCGACCAAGTCGGTCTGGAGGTCGATGCGTTGGCAAGTTAGCGCCTGCGAGTGGTCATCTGAAGCCAGCCTTGACGAGTTATCTTGGAGATGCTTCAGCCTCATGTACAAGGAACTCCGCCACGGCTATGGCTCCCTGGCAATATCTCGCTCGACTGGCTCAAACGTCTAGTAATGCGCTTACACCCCCTCGTCCTGTGACTGTGACTATCGCGTTCGTTGGGGGCTTCGGTTCAGTATCACTCCAAGCCTCCTTTCTCCGCAGTTTCATTTGCTGCTACCGTGGGGGTCCCCGTCACATGAACACCTATCGTCACACTTCGGTGACGTTCCTTCTCGCCAATGCTGCTGAGAGTGCAGATCTGATGTCTGCCTACGCGTCGAACGGATACCGGAATGCTTGTTTTGATATGGTGAAGCAGAGATAATCAATTGCCGCTGTGCAGGACGCCATACTTCGCAGATCAAGCCGGCGAGACCGCCGTCAGAATGTCGTGCTTGAAGTCGTGGCCGCGGAAACCTATCCCATTGCCTGAATGCAGAGTCCCACACGCAGCGCCATTGCTCCGTCAATACTTCCCGCATTACACATACTTCTATCACCATACTCAGCTGGCGCATCCGATATGCGAAACACCACAGTCATACCAAAGCTTATTGGCTTTGAATACGGGCCATTGGCACTGCGCACAAAGCAGCAGGACGCGCGGAAGTAAGCAACACCATAGTCAAGACACTAAGACTTTCTTGTCTCCTTGTTTACATTTTTGTTGCCTCTCCTCAATTTTGGTCTCTATTATTCAGGCGTCCTTGGCCTGTTCATCATATTAGCGCTATACTGCCGTGCTTCATCCGGTGGCTTCTCTCCATCGGCACTCTACATCTACCCTATATCCACTCACTCCGTCATATCACGAAGTCGGAATAGTGGAAGTGGATAATGTAAACATCTGCAGGTTAACTTGTAACAGATGTATCAGGTGTCTCGAGTGTGCTTAAACGCCTGCCATTCTTAGCTAAACCTCAAGATTTTGCCAGCGCATCATACCGTCTCTTGACCTTCACCATAGTCGCTTCTCACTCGGCAAGATCTTCCATAATGCCTACAAGTATGGGATAATGACCTAGCCTAGCATGGTTTACCCCAAGCTTCGCTGGCATGTCTCAGTCAATACCATCGCGAATTACAAGGATCGATTGACAAAAATCTAGAAGACTACATCTGCGAAAGATCGCGATCTCGTACCCATTGATCAACTAGTTTGTTCATCGGGGGCGATCACGATCAGCCTCGTAGATTGCGAGTGACTCTTGACGCCAGAGTTGAATCGCGATCAAGCATGCACCATCTTTTTTCCGAAGTCTCGGTAGATGGACACGAGCTCCACATCACAAACGCGCCAAGATCGCATGCAGCCCTAAATCACCCACATGCCCATGGCATCCAAAGACGTACGTCATTCTTCACCAGCTCCCATGAGTCTCTTCGCGATTTCTTCAATGTTACAAACAACAACGGCAATCTTGCGGCATTTACCGTGCTGGCATGGGCTCTAGCCTTTGGGCTATCGAGACCGGAAGCCGAGGCATTTTCATGACATACGCTATCGAAGCTCAACCAACTCTGGGGTCAGAGAGGCGGGGAAAGACATTTCGCTGGACAAACGGAACTACCCCCGGCCACGTTTCGTCCACACCGGGGCCTTTTCGTATACGAACACATGGACAACGTGGTGCTCCTAGCACCTTCAATGAACACGGACGGCCATCACGCCATTCGCAGACCCGGCGAGAAGTACTTGGATGCTGCCCAGCGAAGATGATGCCGAAAGTATCCCGAATGTCTGCTCCGAAAGGTAAGTCACGATTACCAAACACCAAGAAAAGCAAGAAGATCACCCGCCATCACCACGCAACGGTTATCACGAACCAAACAATTGCACGACGATCCTGAGATTTGAGGCAAGCATGATGCAAGCCGTTTCTCAGGAACAGCGTCCACTTGGGCCGGTACTATGCGGTATATCTACGATTCGATCATGAGGCGAGTCAACACCTTGGTACGCTACCATTAGAGCCAAACTTTGGATGCGTTCCCCGGACCCCGGATTTACGTAGCATCGGATGGCGCTCCCGGAAGCAGGATAACGCCGCTGTGTATACCATGCCTTTTATTTCTTTTCTTGCATCGTTTCATTACGGTCCCTGAATTGCTTCGAATCTGCCAGAGAGTTCGGGAGTTTGTCGTGGTCAGCTGTCTCCAATCTTGCAGCGGCTGCGTCTTCCCCGCCATCATTGCAAGCATGAGCTTGCTGCTTTCAGCTTTCACCACGCGACACATCCTTGTATAGTGCGCGCCTTGACAAACTCTTGCATGCGGTACCGCTCTTGCCCACTCTTCGGCTTACGATTATTTTCAAGAATCTGGTGACTCATTATTGCTAAAGAGTAAGGATGGACCTACTAACCAACAGTCAGCACAACTACCGACGTAGGCAGTGTCGGGAAGATTCGGGTATTTCAGGTCTTCGGCTTGATACAAGTCCGATGAAGCACATTTCAGGACCAATTTGCGTCATGCCTCGCTGCCTTGCCTCATGATCTCCTGGTTTGCAGCTCGCCGGCCCGCACGTGTCAATCCAAACTAACGAAGATACGCCGAGACGAAACCCTGGAAATCTCACAACAGCAGCAATAGTCGGCGACGGCGCCGCTCGATGATTCTATTACCCACCAATCCCCTTTCTTGTTATGACTACGACAGACTAACTGGAGCGGAACGTTGTTTAGCTTCCCCACAAACGCCGCTTACCCCGCAAGGACAATCACGACACGACGACGAGCGGTTAGCTAAACAAAATAGGAAATTGCCGCCTAAGCACTGACTGGCCTCAATCTGATGCAACCATACAGAGTTTGGAGCGGAAGGTTTTGGCACGTCAGGTGTGCTGATGAAACTTGTGGAACTGGTGGTTACACTTCCCCAGACTGGCAACCCCGGACGTCGCAGGTTGCCATTTTGACCGTGTCAGGGTACACACCAGACCTTTCGCTGCACCCTCGACGCGAGGACCCCCTTTTTCGCATCAGTTGCTTTTCATGGTTCTTCGCTGTAGTCAAGTATGCTGTCATTAATGCGCCTCACTTGCTTCAGATCTGCGATACCCCTGGGTCTGAACTTGTTACCTACATGGAATCCGCGAGTAGATGCGACGCATCATGGGGCTTTCTCCGCAGAATATGTCTATTTTCCTGGGGTTTACTTGCTCGTGCTTTTGGGGAGCGATGACGTACATACTGGATCTATGCAGGTACCCAAGCCCCAAGACCGTCGATCATCGTCATTACTTGATTTGGTAATCCGGGTCAGAGAGATCCCAGGCGAACGAAACGACGTTGTAAAATACATTCTTTGTCAGCTTCCGAGTTTTCAAACTTGTTAACACAATAAACGAGTTTCGGAAGGAACAGCAGTCTGCAATCAAGGGAAATTCTAGGTGCGCGTCATCTGTAAATCTGACAAGATAGCGCTAAAGCAGACAGCCATGTTGGTTGGCGTTGTTTACCATCATCGCTGCTAATATCGATGTTTCTCTCAACAAAAGCATCTGGCGCCCGCAGGTGGTGTGGAGTCGCTATCGCCAACACCAGATCCACCCGATCGATTGGCCACGAGCTCATCAGCCTTTTCGCCATCGTTGCAGAAGATTTTCTAGAAGCCCCAGAGAATGATACAGCGCTTACGTTTTACATGGGCTTTTGCCGCACTTGTAAGTGTTTGCGCTCTATTGATAGCCAGTGTTGTTGGAGGCGACGCGCATCGTCCGTATCCGGCGCTCGCGAGGCTGTTTACGAGTTGACGCGCATTCGTGCAGGGTCCTATTGCTATTGATTGAGTTGACGAGTACGTCATGCTTGATCGCATTGGGCGTGCCGTACACCGCTCACGGAACCTATCGATTCAGCAGTTGTTGAGGCTGCAGTATCCTGTCGGTAATCCATTCTGGCTTGCGAATGCATGCATGAACCGAGTTTCACGTGCCATAGCTGCGCGAGCGCGCATGTGTCTGCTTGCCGAGCTCCACCGACACGCAACATCTATCACAGCGAAGACAAGGTGTTG